ACATCCAGCAGGCCTGCAGTCTCCATGAGACCATTAATGCCCACACCTACAGGATGCGGCTGGCCAAGAGCGAGCAGGGTGTGGGAAGTGCCTGGTTTGTGGTCTACGCCAAGGGCATCAAGATCCTGGGAGGAGAGTGCACCAGCAGCTCGTCCACGCCAACGCCCGAGGCCACCACCTTTCTGTGGCCCAATATCACTAAGCTCTCCTTCGAGCGCAAGAAGTTCGAGATCAGATCGGGGGAGAGCAGGATCACCCTGTATGCCTCGTCCGATGAGAAAAACAAGCTCCTGCTGACCCTCTGCAAGGACACCCACCAGTGGAGCATGAAGCTGGCGGCCAGGCTGAAGGAGGTGTCCAAGCGCGAGGAGGAAGAGGCTGCCGAATCGCAGAGGCTCCATGCCAGCTACGCCTGCTCCAGAAGCCTGCTCCTGCCCTACAAGAGTAAGAACGAGCAGCGCATCTCGGTGATATCGAGCACCAGTTCCAATACCACCTCGGGGATAGTGAGCGATCGCGTGCACTCCGAGGACGAGCTGGAAATCATGATCAACACGCCGCCTGCTCCCTTGGCTGCTCCCTCCACGGAGAGCTTGGCCCTGGCCCATCTCTTGGACCGACCCAGTGTGAGCAGGCAAACTTCGAGCGTGGGGCAGATGTCTCTGAAGGATTTGGAGGAGCAACTGGCTGCCCTGAGTGTGAGACCACCGGACGCAAACTCTAATGGAGCCACCTCCGTGACGAACTCCTCTGTTCAGCGAAACTCCATGGGCACAGCGGCGAATGATTCCTCCACGGCCACCGATTCACCTAGTTCCCAGCACAACATTGGCTCCCAGTGCTCCTCCACCTGCAGCACCGTGGTGGTCACTTCGCCTGCCGGAGCAGCAACAGGAGGAGCAGCTTCGTCAGGAGCTCCCGTGCCCGTGCACTCCACTTCGTCCAGTTTGGAGCTGGGCTTTAGTCACACCGCTCAAAACTCCGCTCTGAGCGAAGCGAATCCAGAGGATTTCCTATCCACATCCGCAAGGGAGGAAACGGAGAGTGTGTCGGGTGCATCCGGAGTTTATACCCTGGCCCATGGAGCTCCACCCACCGAAACTTCGGGAGTATACACCATGCACAGCAGCGAGTTGACCGGCCAGTCTTCGGAAATGGCCGAGTCGGAAAAGAGTTCGCACTACGGAATGTTCCAGCCGCAGAAACTAGAGGATGGGCACGTGCCACATCCCGATTCTGTGGATGGAAAGAAGCCAGAGGAGTTCCGACTACGATCCGATTCCAACATCAGTACGTCCAGTTCCTTCAGAGGCGATGGTAGCGATCCCACGGATAACAAACATTCCCTGCTCTCCGCCGAGGAGCTGACCAATTTAATTGTGGGCAGGGGTACCTATCCCAGCTGCAAGACGGTGTCCAGCAGCCTCCACTCGGACTGTGACTACGTAACCCTGCCAATGGGAAGTCAGGGAGTGGAGGAGGTGGATCAGCCGCCAGCACCACCGCCACCATACAGTGCCAGGCACGAAAAGACCGGACTATGTGGCCCACCGATCGCCAAACCACCAGTGCCCAAGCCCATAGCTGTGGTAGCTCCCAAGCCGGATACACCACCGTGCAGTCCGCCAGTGCCTCCGGCACCACTTCCAGCTCCACCGCCACCGGCTCTCCGACGCCGAGACCCACCGCCATATTCCAGCTCCAGCAAGCCCAGACCCACATCCCTGATTTCCGTGAGTTCCTCCGCGAATCCTGCGCCCAGTGCCGCCGGCTCGATGAGTTCCCTGAAGTCTGAGGAGGTGACGGCCAGATTCATAACCACCAGGCCGCAGATTAGTATCCTAAAGGCCCACACCAGCCTGATTCCCGACGGAGCCAAGCCCAGTTATGCGGCACCGCACCACTGCTCGTCGGTGGCCTCCTCCAACGGATCGGTGTGCAGCCACCAGTTGAGTCAGCAGTCGCTGCACAACTCCAACTACGTCGGCGGCTCACAAGCTTCCCTGCATCACCACCATCTGCCGGCGCACCACCGACATTCCGGATCGGCCGCCATTGGGATACCAATAGTTCCTTACGGCCTGCACAAGAGCACGGCTTCACTGCATCACCAGCAGTCCTGCGTGCTGCTGCCGGTGATCAAGCCGCGTCAGTTCCTGGCCCCACCACCACCCAGTTTGCCCAGGCAGCCGCCACCACCGCCTCCACCGAATCATCCCCACCTGGCGGGTCACCTTTACGGCAGAGAGCTGGCCAGGAAGCAGTTGGAACTGTACCAGCAGCAGCTCTACAGCGATGTGGACTACGTGATTTACCCCATTCAGGATCCAGCGGTTAGCCAGCAGGAGTATCTGGATGCCAAGCAGGGCTCCCTGCTGGCGGCCATGGCGCAGGCGGCACCACCACCGCCACACCACCCATATCTAGCCATGCAGGTGTCGCCTGCGATCTACAGGAGCACTCCCTACCTGCCCCTGGCGCTGTCCACCCACTCCAGATATGCGTCCACCCAAAACCTATCGGACACCTATGTCCAGCTGCCGGGGCCTGGCTACTCGCCCCTCTACTCCCCCTCGATGGCCAGCCTGTGCTCCTCGTACGAGCCACCACCACCGCCGCCCCTTCATCCGGCCGCTCTGGCAGCACACGCCGCCGCGGGGGCCAGCGCCTCCTCCTCCATGTTTGCACGATCGCGATCAGACGATAATATTCTGAACTCGCTAGATTCGATGCCCAAGGGGAGGAGGTTGCCACCGCCTCCACCACCACCCTATGTGAACAGGCGGCTGAAGAAACCACCCATGCCGGCGCCCAGTGAAAAGCCACCTCCAAGTGAGTAGTTACATTGGATCACAGTTTGATCACGTACTAACCATCTCCCCCTTTCAGTACCCTCAAAGCCCAGTCCCAGCTTGATGATGAGCCCGATGCCACCGCGGAAACCACCAACTCTCAACCCGCACAATGCCAACTCACCGCTAACGAAGACCTCCAGCGGCGCCCAGTGGGCGGGAGAGCGTCCAAGGCCGGATTTGGGTCTTGGCCTGGGGCTGAACCGGGGAAACAACAGCATTCTGGCCCAGCTGCAGGCCTCCATGGCCGCTGAGTCGCATGCCCAGGCTCAGGCTAAGGCCCAGGCTCTTGACATTGCCCTGCTCCGGGAGAAGAGCAAGCATCTGGATCTGCCGCTGATCTCGGCGCTCTGCAACGACCGCTCCTTGCTGAAACAGACGAAGGTGATGATGAATCCGAAGACGGGCCAGGAGATACCCACCTCCAGTGCGCAGTCTTCGGGGGCCACCACCAACGGGGGTTCCAACTCCTCGGGAGGAGCAGGAGGAACCCTGAGCAAGGTCAGGAAGGGATCCACCGTAAGCCACCGCCATCCGCAGGACAAGCTGCCACCTTTGCCTGTCCAGCAACTGGCGGAGGCCAACAACTACGTGATCGATCCTGCCGTGATGATGAAGCAACAGCAGCAGCAGCACCACAAGACCAGCTAGACTCGCAAAGCTAAACGGGAACCGGAAACGGAACCGGAAATGGACAAACGGGTCCAAGACGACACTCTTCTCTCTAGATCGATTGCTGTTCGAAGTGCTGGCGTATTTGTGTGCCCAGGTGAAGAGCTGATTCTGCGTTCGGAAATTTGCATAGATCGAGTGGTGTAAAAAGAGATATCTTTATTCGATCACAGTGTTTCGGAGGGTAGAGATTCGCTGGGCAGACAAGAAGGGGTAGAATTGTAAACCCACCGGGAAGAATCAGTTAACAGAGCAGCAGAAACAGTAACAGCTTGATAGGAACTAACATGCATTTAACAGACATAACAGAAGCCAGTTTTTAGAAGGACCAATCATATATATTTTATCCTTGGACCCTTGCCACCTACTAAACTTTACTGAAATCACAAGAGAAATACAAAAAACTAGAGTAACAAAAGCCACTGAAACAACTGAAACACACACAGAGTCAATACTTAAACTAACAGAACAGTACGTGAGCAACATAACCTCAAATACGCATTCAAATAATCAGAACCCAGTCTAGTCACTTAAGGGAATTGGTAACGTAACCACAGCAGAAGCCACAATGACACACCATCGGAAACGGAAATGAAATAGAGAGAGAGTTGAAGAAAATGGGAAGCAACAATACTCAAGTATAAAATACGACCACTACCTAATTAACTAAACTACATCGTAGAACTTTAGTCTTAGCTGCAAATATTTAGTTAGGCCAGAAATGCGAATACTTAACACTAACTACTTCCGCCCAAACAACTGTGATTGATTTTTATTTAAACTTACACTAAATTTACAACAACTACTTTAGTCAGCAAGAACCGCGCATAACAACATATAACTATGCAAATTTTTTAGTACGTAGCAATCGCCCCTCACACGAAACACACACATACTCACAACGAATCGGGCCAGCGAAAGTATCGGGTGAGAGCCGTTCGAATCGGCTATGAAACGGTTCGGATTGGTTTTGCTCGATTCGGTCGCTGGACGAAAGGAACTAAAGAATTTCAAGAGTGCCTAGACTTGCCCTCCATTCCCCACCATAGTAGTAAGCGAGAGATGATTATGATTTATTTTTTGTATCCACTTTGTTTATTTTTTGTTCGATTATTAACCCCCCCAACTATTTTTTGGATGTGTGAGTGTGCGTGCAAAAATGATTTCGAGTTTTTGATGGATGTCACAAATATTTGCGTAGATTTTTCTCGACTAAAAGTCTATGGCTAAATTGAAGAATGTGATCTTTGAGAAAATGTAAAATTTTTGCCATATATCTTACATATACACAAATATACAATTATTTTAATTTATTAATTTACAAAACAACAACTTTCAATTAATGCATTTATAAAGCAAATCGTTGAAGCATCCAACAATCGTATACGATAAGTAAAAAGTCCTTGAGTAGCATACAAAAGTTGTAAAAATTATCTTTGCTAAATAAAATGAAAATTCAAATGAAAAACGTTAAAATAAAATTAATCGAGTGTTTTAGTTTTCTGTGGTATGTTATCAATAATAATAAGAAAATCTCAATCATAAAGTTTCGGCTTGGAAATGATTTCAGAGTAACATTGTAGAGTAGGGTTTGATTAAGTTAGGAGTAGGGTTTACTATCACAAAATGCAAGACGAACGTCGATCTGTATCACTTACATATTACATAACGCGTAACTGACGACGAACAACAAGCGATGCGCGACTATCAGAATGAACTAGGAGAGTTAACATGTCCTGGCACTTTGGCTACGCTTAAAAACTATTATGGTCTAGTTGGTCAGCATGTCCTCATCCTCGGGAGTTCTTCGCACCCACTTCTTCATTAACGTCAGCGTGATGCCGGTGACGAGGAAGACACTGCCAAAAGCCACCAGAGAATAGCCGAGGATTACTCCGTAGCTGGACAGATTGATGGCCAACTGGAAGGCAGAATTTGGCGTTAAAAGGGATGAGATATCAGATAAGGAGTAGTGCTCACCTTGGCCTTGGAGGCCAATTCCGAGGACAGCTCCGCATACTGGTCGAACCAAAACATGGGCATCAGCACCTTTGGCACTCCGCGATAGATGCTGAAATAGATAATTTCATTATTTTTTAATTTATAATGGTAAAACCAAATTTAATACTCACTCGAAGTCGTCGTCCGGCTCGATCATCATGTTAATCTGGATGCGGCCGTGCACCTGGACGGGCACTCCGGTGATGGGTTCCACCGCCAGGAAGAACTCGTGCTTCTCCCTCTCCGGCTTCAATCCAGTGACAGCGTCGACGTACGACTGATCAGCCAGGTAGAAGTGGGGGAAGGAGGAGTAGATGGGTGCCTTGTCTCGGCAGGCCTTGCACTCCACCACACCGGTCTTGGGACACTCGTCGAAGCGCTTGGGATCACAGAAGCAGGCCTGGTTCGGGTAGTTTTCCCCGGAATCGAGGGTCTCCTCAGTGCCCACCCATTTTGTGGCGGTCAGGCCGTGGTTCTCATAAGTACCCTTTGGCCGGAGGTTCAGGAATCGGCAAGCATCGGTGGCAAAAACCGTAATCTCGTCGTTGACATTCATCTTGGGCGGGAATAGGTCACCGGTGGTTCCATTAACCGTGCCACAAGGCATATCGTAGAAACCAGTCTGCGGCTTTCCATTCCAGTGGGTGAGTCTGCCCAGATTGGATATGTCATCAGTGCCGGTGTGAATGGTGAACAAGCCGTCGTAGGTCAGCGATTCATTTCGATCCGCCAGCCAGCCGAAGCGCTTGTATGGAATGTCAATCATGGAGGTGTTGAACAGGTTAAGGAAATCGGTAATGTTATCCTGAAAGCCATCGAAGATCCACTCGCCCACCGGCTTGGTCACGTACAACTCGCCGCCCTCGTGGTTCAACATGAAGTTAATGATTTTCTTGACGATCTTGCGCTGGTTTCGCATCTCGTCCGCCACCGTGGCGGTGATGGCATGGGCGGCGGTCACCATGTCGTCCAGGGTGCCATTGGATCTCTCCGGATCGAAGAACCACGAGCGGCGCTCGTAATATGCCACCGTAGCATTGTCGTAGAATGTGTAGTTCTCCTTCTTGTGCTTCTCCAAGAAGGTGTATGGACCCATCTCCACAAAGTTCGGCTTTACGTTTGGGTTCCTGATCTCCTCGGGATTCGTCCAGTTGAACATGTAGAAGCTCAGGTAAATCGGGATAGGTGTCTCCATCCAGCTGTCGTAGGTATCTGTGCCAGGCTTCAGGGTGAGACCCTGAATAATGTTAAAAATGTAATTTAAGATTTATGTTTTACACGTGAAATCATTATTGTCATTCGGTAATCAAAAGTCTTTAAGTATTTGTAATCAGTGTTTGTGACACCTTATCATCATTCTAATCATTTAAAAAGTTTTGCAATCAGCGGATTAAATTAAACTCAAACAAAAAATCACTGAGTATCCTTAATACGTAGTCTGTTAACAACGAAAGAGTATTATTTGCCATTAAATATCTTTTAATTTGCATTTTATATACCCACTTCACATTGAGCTATTGACAAATTTACTGGCTTGATTAGACATAATAGCTAAATGGCTTTATTTATTTATTACTTTCAGTTTCCCTACAATAAAATTGGCTTCATGAAATAATTTTGATGGTATACCATTAAGATGTATAGTTTTCTTTGGCATTTTGTTCTTATATGTAAATATACTCACATCCTCGACGAGGCTATCCGCAATACCCGGCCAGAAGACTACGACGAGTACTCCCAGTACCAGGAAGAGCGATCCCAGGCCGAAGACCCAGGCCTTGCGTTGAGTTTCCCCGCAGCACTTGCAGCACATGGTGGGACGATATGTAGGATGCGGAAGATTCACGGATTACGAAGCGATAAAGGAGGAGAGATCCGATCCTAGGCACTGCGTTGCATCTGGAAGAGGGGAGGAGACCGTGTTATTTTCGCTTGCATAATCAGTGTCCATAAACCGTATCGCGGCTAATCGGGGTATTTTTATTTGCTTGTCCCTGGGTACAACCATTCTGACACCCTGCAGAGTTGCTAATATTAATAATAAGCCGCCCGAATTATCGCTGTTTTGTTCCTGCTTAAGTATTCGATAAGGATCTGCGATTAAGTCATTTTAATTTTGAATAAGACGACTACGTCCGTTGCACACGCAATGACAGCCACTCGTCTTTAAAGTCAACCTCAAGTGCAGACATCCCCAGATCTCTCCAGTTAAGGAGCACTTGCCACTGTTTAGGCTGCCCAAACTTACTAGTTCCAAACTAAAGGGGATCGAAAATACTCCAGGATGGGCACTATTGGAATTACCACAATCGCACGCGTCGCCTTCTAGCGCGAAACTGTTTGCTAGCGAGCTTCTTGGGGCCTTTAAATGGAACCACTTGAAGTTTATCACTAGGTTCAGTAAGTAATCTCTGGATTTCGCTAATCTGGAATGTTTGCCTGATAGAGGGTTGGGTTCAAAATATGGACATATCTAAACTGCTTAAAATTGTAAACGTTTAAAGATATACATGACACTTTAAGTTCTTCTTGATACAATTTAAACAAATAGGTGAGCAAGTTGCCATTAATAAATAATAAAAATAATATATGTTTTTATATATATATATTTCAATCTATTACATATTGGTGTATGAATGGTAATGATTGCTTAATAATTGGCACAGATCTTCAGCATGAAATGTAAGATAACTTTTCATTATCTTGGTAATACCCGCATTTCTTGACCATTTCATGCGGATTTTGTGCTTGGTCAAGATGTTCAATTCATGCAAACGCTCACAAGGGGTTCCGATTTATATTTATGGCACCGATAAGATAAGCTTGTGGGATATATTGATTAGTCGGTTGACAAGTGTTTGTTCAGGTCTGTTTACTATAGAAAACAGCATAACCCTTGATCCGCCATTAAATGTAATACTTATCGAAAGTAATAGGAACGGGACTTGTTTTATCTAAAGTCTATAGCATATCGTATTGCAATTTCGATTCTCGTTGTTGTTCTCTTTTGTCGTCTGACTCAGTCTTGTTTTTGTCGGATTATTGGGTTCTATAGTATAAACTCGTCTTTGTTCATCGACTGATAACGGGCAAAAAAGGGGTCTGGAACTACAGTAGGAATTCTGGAGCTGGAACTGTTTCTATGTGAGTTTACTGTAACTAAAAATATATTTAATAATAAATATTTTACAGGACAATTTCTTGAAATTCCTTGTTGTAGTTACCTAAATAAGGCATCATACATACATATATGTACATATGTATCCTTAAAAGGAATTCTGTAATTACAAAACAACGTCAAACTACTTGGTATTTTACCAGTTTCTATTGTAAATATTTATATTATTGGCTTTCTGTACATTTATTTAAATAAGAAAATTATATAATGTTCGACTTACGGAGACTTAACTATTTGTCAACTGTGATAAACCACATCCTATGGAATGTTTGCTTTCTTTGAACCCAAGCTTTGATCTTTGACTATGTGCTGACATCACCAGTTGTGGATTATCTCTACCGCTAATTATCACGTATTATAACACTGATGTATTACAGGCTGCTTAAGTAAAGTGAAGAATTACTCACCTTTTTTATCTCGCACACAATTGCAGCTGGGTTTGGTATGCAGATGTTGTTGTTTTTGCTTTGGCCTTGACTTTAAATATTGCGATTTTAAGGAAAAGGTATCGTTTACTGTGACTCCCCGCTTTGAATGTTAGATAGTCTAAATCATATAGTATCTGGAACGGAAAATACCGTTAAAAAGGGTTTTAATTGCAAGGGATTATTGAAATTCAATTACATTTACATACCCCAAAACTCAAGCGTAAGCGTTTCTTTGGTAAATAAGCTGAAGACCGGCAGCCAACTAAGAATAAAGGCACTTGCGTGTCGGCAGAGACTCGAAAAGAGAAAGAAAGAATCCAAGCTTGCAGTTCGCCTGGTTTAATTGGATTAAACTATTTATTTTCTTTATTTATATTTTTGCCCTGATCGAGGGTTGCCAGATGGGTTTTGGCGAGCTGTTAAGGCACTGTAAGCAAGCGTTGCCAGAGTTTAAGAGGGCGGCGTTAGCCTTTAACAGCTGTTCTGTTAGCACCTCGACGGTATTTTTACGTATATTTGAAAATGTAATAATGGTATTATTCATTGAGCTGTTATAGATGGCGCTAGCAGCAGGGCTTTGCTATTGGGCGGCCCAAAAAGTCCACTTACGCCTAGGGTTTCTCTGTTAGTTAACATTACCTCGCAGAGTGACCGTTTAGAATATTTTTGATATGCCTGAAAAAGTAAAAACGGTATATTCCTTTGAGACTGACGTGGTCTACACACCACACAAACAAAGCAGCCAGCGGCAACTACAACATTTTCTACATTTCTGCCAGCATATTAAATTCTTTGCCGGGAAAAAGGCATGAATTGCTAAAATAACTAGGATCGGAAACAGAATGCAGCTTATCAAGTGCTTGGTTATTGTTCAGTTAGCCCTCCTGCTGGTGGAGGAGTCGTTAGCCGGCCGGGACTTCTATAAGATACTGAACATCAAGAAAAACGCCAACACGAATGAGGTGAAGAAGGCGTATCGCCGCTTGGCCAAGGAGCTGCATCCGGACAAGAACAAGGACGACCCGAATGCCTCTGAGAAGTTCCAGGACCTGGGAGCCGCCTATGAGGTCCTGTCCAATGCGGACAAGAGGAAAACCTACGACCGCTGCGGCGAGGAGTGCTTGAAGAAGGAGGGGATGATGGACCACGGTGGCGATCCATTCTCCAGCTTCTTCGGCGACTTCGGTTTCCACTTTGGCAACGGCGATGGCCAGCAGCAGGATGCCCCAAGGGGCGCCGATATCGTCATGAACCTGTACGTCTCCCTGGAGGAGCTCTACTCCGGCAACTTTGTGGAGATTGTCAGGAATAAGCCAGTGAGCAAACCCGCCTCGGGCACCCGGAAGTGCAACTGCCGCCAGGAGATGGTCACCCGGAATCTGGGGCCCGGACGCTTCCAGATGATCCAGCAGACCGTGTGCGACGAGTGCCCCAACGTGAAGCTGGTCAACGAGGAGCGCACCCTGGAAATCGAAGTTGAGCAGGGCATGGTCGATGGCCAGGAGACGCGGTTCGTGGCCGAGGGAGAGCCCCACATCGATGGAGAGCCCGGAGATCTCATTGTGAGGGTGCAACAGATGCCGCATCCGCGATTCCTGCGCAAGGACGATGATCTGTACACCAACGTGACCATCAGCCTGCAGGATGCCCTCGTAGGCTTCTCCATGGAGATTAAGCACCTGGATGGACACCTCGTGCCCGTCACGAGGGAGAAGATTACGTGGCCCGGCGCCCGTATCCGCAAGAAGGGCGAGGGCATGCCCAACTTCGAGAACAACAATCTCACCGGCAACCTGTACATCACCTTCGATGTGGAGTTCCCCAAGAAGGACCTTACGGAGGAGGACAAGGAAGGTGGGTGTAGTACGAACACTATTTAAAGAAACTACTATTTTCTGTTCATTTTAATTTGTTGACGAGGGCTTAATCAGGTATTTGTACCACTAATTAATCAATACTCTTTCTATTTTAGCGCTCAAGAAAATACTCGACCAATCGACCATCAACCGCATCTACAATGGACTGTGAATCGCTCATCGCCCACACCCAAGAAAGCGCTCGCTGGCTGTACTCTAGTATTTAAATGCCTAACTGGCGATTTCGATCTGGAAACGCCCCCAATTCAAGAGATGACTTTGTTCAAAAAAGTTGTGCGATAAAAACAATTTAATTTTAGTTTAGAATTTTGTAAAATAGTAAATGTTGATGAGCGGAAATCAGCAAAACTACAAGCAGTTCTTGCTGACAAAAAGGAATTGCAACACAAAACCAACCCCCACAAAATAAAACGGATTTAAATTATAAACAATGTTTTAGGAAGTCATTTTATTTTGGTTTAATATTTGTAGTAAATGGTAAAAAACTCTAAATTCGGTTTCCCTATCAAATTGCTTGTAGGTATTATAATAGATGTATTTTCCAAAAAACTCATAAATTTAAATAATATTACTATTAAGGAAATCGATATGCAACGCCGTTGCAACCTTGGCTCAGCTGTCGATAACTGGCGCAGGACAACGGTCTATAGAGAGTAAAATAAAGAGAGCGGTACAGGAAGTGGCGAATTCACTTTTAGAGAGCGTAGAAATTTTCACCAGTGCGGACGTAGGACAAGCTCAATCAGGCTTTTATTTTTTTACAGAAAGCACAAAACTGAAAACCAACCATTGTAAAAACAGTAAAATATATAATTTGTACTGCCTTACTTCACCACCAACCGAAAGAGAACCGAAGTATCCCAGAAAAGGATAATCGTTTAAAGGAATTTCTAGGCCGAAAAACAAGACACCAACAACTAAAGCGACCATAAATACATAGTATGAATGTCGCCTAAATATCATAATTTCGAGGTGAGTCCGGTGGGGCTCCTTTTCGGTGCCCGTGCCCCCTTCATAAGTACCAGTTCCAGGGATTTCGTGTTTCGTGAAGACGCAACGGTCCACCCCTTCCATTAATTTTTTCGCTATCGATTTTCTGCGGGGTTGTCCCTTCAACTTTAAGTGACCCAAAAAAGAAAGGGAGGGTGGTTTTAGGTCAGCCGGCAAAGTTGCGTGCTCGGCAAGTTCATCCATCCTGGGTTCGTGCCAAATTAAGAGACCCCAATAAAAACTCTTCCAGATTGCACTGGTCTACTTTCTGCTGCTGATACCATGGCCGCCCACAAATGTGATCAGAATCCTATGCTCGCGAGATAACAGCCGACTGGTGCGCAAGATAGTGCGCTCCAAATGGACTCCGATTTTGGACAAGCATCAGGTGAGTTCACCATTGGATTATTCCCCTCTATAGGTGTTCCTTATAGAATAAAATATTTAATATTCAGGTGAAACTTCCCCTGGAGTGCCCCCTGCATCCGTTCCGTGATGTCTTTGCCCCCCGACAGGATGCCAAGCAAAGGGACCGACCCACTCAGTGGACGTGTAGGAAATGCGGCAAGAGCTTCTACCAGGAGAAGCACCTGGATCTGCATTTCGACACGCGTCACAAGAGCATCATCAATGAGGTAAATATCTATAATCAGTATTCTTAGTATAGATAGCTTCTAAAATGTTCGGTGCCAAACTACATATGATTTAACTTCCTTAAATATGAAGATAGTTGTAGTCCATAAATAACTTATAAAATCTTACCGGATGTCAGAGTTTTGAAATCAAGATTAAAACCAGTGGTTGCCAACAGAAGCAGAACTGTTGCAGAGCGCCGGCAGAGAATATTTGTGACCCATGGGCTGCCTGTGCTGCTTCTGTTGGTGACCACTGACTTGTTTTTAGACACAGCTGTCATATCTGCGGGATAGTCCCGTGTTATTTAATCAACTTCCTTTTGATCTGATTAGGCGGAGGATGCCGTTTGCCTGGCCGACTTCTGCGACATTATGCGGTGCGAGGTTTTCGAGACGGAGGATGCGTCCAGCCTGAAGTTCGGAGACCAGCACATCGTTACGGACATCGAGGTCTGGGGCGACTCCCTGGGCCAGAATTCCGCGTTGGCCAAAGCGAATGCTGCCTACTTGAGCTTAATACCAAGGTGGGTTTTGTTAATTATGGGACCCGTTCAAATATTTAATACCATAACCCATTAGAACTTCCACATTGGGCGCCTCGCGTGCCGCCAAAGTACAAAACCGTCAATTACTCCAAGACAAGCCAAGCCAGGCCAGCAAGCAGGATCAGTCGCCGGCAGGTGAGCGAACCCATCCCCACTCCCACTCCCACCGAGTGCGTGCATCCACCACAGCCAATCCCCTTCGCCTAGATCCATCCCCGGAGGACGGATCGGCGGCCAAGCCGAGGTCGGCGGGCGAGAAGCTGCTCCACAAGCTCAAGGAGCTGGGCAAGGCGCACCTCAAGCCGTCGACGGTGGATCCGGAGGCCAGCAGGCAAAACGAGACGGATGAGGAGGAGGACGAGGAGGGCAGTGGACAATCGGAGGGCAGTGGCCAGTCAGACGACGAGGCCAAGACGGAGGAGGGCTCGGGGGCAAATGGAAATGGCAACAAGGCAAGGGCCAACTGCAAGCCGGAGGAGCTAAGCAAGCTGAAGAACCGCTGCGAGATGCTGCTGAGAAGCTGCATCGGCGGATTGCTGCTCTCCATGTCGGACCAGGCCTTCAAGGAGATGGAAGGTTCGCTTAATGCGCCATCATGTAACCCGAGTACCCAACAAAAATCCCTTTCTGCCCGCAGATGAGATGAACAAGGCGGTGTGCTGGTACTTGACCTGCGATCGCTACTGGGAGGATGGCCCCCTGGAGCCACGAGCCTTCCCCTGGGGACTCATCGTCATCCTGATCTTCGTGCTGTCCACCGGGATCTGCTTCTGCTACTACATCATCTGGATCCTGTTCGAGTAAGTGTGCCCTGGCCTCCTGGTCAATCTCCCATTGAGATTGAGCGAACCCAAGTCATCTGTTTCAGCTCCGAAGAGACGACAATCAACGCGAACCACTACTACGGCCAGGGAGCCATCGGCGGCGGCGGGAGCATCTACATGCCAGGAGCAGCAGCGGGTCATCACTACCATGTGGACTATGCCACGCGCCACGACCTCGACCTGGACGCCGGCGGGATAGCTGGTCAGCAGCAGCAGCAGCAGCAGCAGTTGCTTCAGGAGCAGCAGTACTACTACCAGCAGCAGCAACAGCAGCAGCAGGCGGCATCCGTCCGGGATTTGTATCCGGAGCAGGTGCAGTACCATCGGCACAGTCCGCGGCACTACATCGCCGATCAGCGTCCGGTGGGTCCGCCAGTGGGCACACCCACCCAAGGGGCCGTGCGCAGCAGCTCCTCCAACGCCAACACGCCGTTGCACCATCGGGTGCAGCATCCGGGACAGCATCCGGCACAGCATCCCCACCTGCAGCACCGCCACTCGACGAGCCTGGCCTACCCACAGGACATTTTAGACCGACGCGACTATACAAGTAGCTCCTCGCGCCCCATTGCCGCCAATATAGTGGCTGGATCAGGATCAGTGTCGGTACAAGGATCGGGACAAGGACAGGGAGCCGGAGCTCCTGGCGACACCCAGCAGCGGCACTACAACACGCACCCGCGGCCGCTGGAGACGAGGCATCGCCACGTGGGCTCCTCGCAGCAATCCCTTCGTGCCTCCGCCTCCACGCACGAGATTGTGCAGCAGGAGGCGGGTCTGGGTCAGAATGAGCACTACATCTACGTGACCTATCCGCCGGACCTCAAGAAGCGCTACTTCGAGTGATGGACAGGGCTGGAGGATCCCCGGAACAGGCGATTGGGATAGATACCGATGGAGAGACCAAAGAGCCCTCTGGAGGAGAGCCAAGAAACGATACCAAAGCCAGAGATCAACTGCAGTTGATCACATTACGATGATATAGGACGAAGGAGCGGAGGACTGGCCGCCAACCTAACCCCAAAAGTTGGTTTTTTACTTTTAGCCTGCAAATTCTAGATTTGTGAACTGTGCTGTTCTTTTTTAATTCTACAAAATAAATTGCAATATTTCTGTACAATAGAAACTGGGTCTTTAAAATTGAACGTTAGATATTTTGGATATACACTTAAGCGGTACCTTACTTACTTTTGCGCAAATATCCAAATAATAACAAAGCCAAAGCTCGTAGAATAACATTTACATAAAACATTTATTTCTCTTTTTAGGATTTCGTATATCATTTCTTTTGTTTGGTTTGCTCAAAGACACTCACATTGATATAGTCACAAATCTTAACGCTAGGGTACAGTGAAAACCGATATACAAGTAAAGAGCTAGAGACATATACATATACATATGTGTTTGGGTCCATTGGGGAATGTGTAGAGTGGCAAAGGATGGTATGTACATATTGCGCAATAAATATGATTGTTGCTGCTAACATTTTTACTCCATTTAGTGGGCTAGCTCTTGCACTTTGACTTTTACTTTTTAGTTTTTGTACTAAAATTAAGCGTATTACTTAGTTTAAACAAGTTACAAACGAAAGAACATACATTTAGAAGCTTAGCTAGACATTAGATAATTATTAGTTTCAAAAAGTTTTGGTCCTTTGGAATGTGTTACGAGAGAAAAAAGACATCTAAGTGGTCTCGATTATAATATAAAGATAACATTAGTTTAGTGTAGCTAGTGTTGGCTAGGATTCTAAGACTAGACCAGCACCAAAGTCTATTTCATAGTTGGCATTGCCCTTGAATATTGTTTTCCTCATCCGCATTTTACAAAAGTCGAGCGTTGAGAATTCTTGAAGGCCCCCATACCAAATTTGATTACTATCCCGGATTGGTTATGCCTTAAAGTCGCAATTAGGGACGGGCCTTATGAAACAGAACCTTTTCGGATTTCCTGGTCAAGATAGGAATATGGGGCTTAACAATTCTGGTACTACCCGTAACCCTAAGACAAACAACAAATTGCTCTAGGAACCTAATAAATAATTGCACTAAAAACAAACAAAGTCTTCGGCTACTAACAGATCAAACAATTCCAACAGATATATTTAGATTCTTTTTACTTTTTGGTCTATGCTGCATTTGGTGGCAATAAAAAATTTAAACTACAAGGGAATGGCGGGGCCCCCGATATATCATATGTGTTATATTGCGAATGTATCTAAAAATCTGGGCCTGACCTTTGGCGAAAAGCATTTTAAATTGGCCCGACTCGCTGAGCGACTAAAACGCTGATACATTAGGCGATAAAATATGTATATATGTATATCTGGTTAATTGCACGCGACTCGGACCGAAACCCCAAAACTCCCCGACTGACCCCCGATTAACCCTTCGTCTAACGCTGCTTACTCATGCTTAACCCATCGAGATTCGAATTCGCGCATTCCAGATAAACACGACATTTTTCATGTAAATATTGCACAGATATCTAAAATATATATATGGTATATGATACTCTATATAATTAGGTGTAAAATAAGTATCGTAAAAGTTTAAAAATTATGATTTCCCTAAAACAACGACTATACATAGTTGTTATTAAGCTATATTCCGTTTCCTAAAATAAATCCAAATATTAAAAAAGTCTTGAGATTCTGGTAAAGTGTAGCTGTATCTTTACTCTTCATATTTTTTGTGGTGTATCTAAGTGTGTGGTGTATCTTTCGTTTGGTTTCCGATTAGGCACGCCTTTCCGGGTCGTCTGCTTTGACAAGCCGAACACATCTGATCCTATCTAGGGACCAGAAATATCTTTGGTAGAAGCTGGAATCCTATTTGACCCGCCAGGGGCGCTTCCTGCCCGCCCTCTGGCGCTTGTACTTCCGCAGGATTTGATGGGCGTGGTAAAAGCGACTGATTCGACTTTGGACATATTTCCCATGCAGATACTTGAGCAACTTTCGCCGATCCTTGTGGGGATCGGGGGTCTCGCCGTGAATGATCTCCTCGTGGTGTATCAATGGGGTGGCATCGAATTCCGGCTGGGGTTCGGCCAGAAGCTGGATGAGCTGCAGGGTGTCCACCTGTTCCTCCTCCTCGGGACTCACCTGAACGAGATTGGGCTCTCCCTCGATCTCCGGCTCCTCGTTGGCCACCACTCCCAGGATGTTCTCGTTCATATCGCACTGCACCACATAGAGATCACTGCTGGAATCAAAGATCTCGGCCAGATTGATGAGCAGGACATCCTGACCATTCGCGATCGGTTCCTCCTCGTCTTCTTTGCCCTCTAAATCCGAGAGTTGATACATCTCCGCCAGCGCCTCCTCGACGCTCAATTCCCGGGGAGGAGCAGCGACCCCTTCATCCGGAGATTCCGATTCCTCGCTTACGACTAACTCTTTTGTTTTTAAGGAACTATTTAAGGCAATCTTACTAAGGTCACTTGGCTGCGCTTCGCCATCGCTCTCGAGGATCTCCTTCAGTTTGGCAATATCGTGGTTGGAGACCTCCACCTCTTGGTTTGTCTCCTCGATGGTCTCCCTTTTGACAATCATATCCAGGATGGAGAGATCTCCCTTGGGCTCTTCGGTTTGTGATTGGGACAGTTCTTTTTCCAGGGCGGCCAGCTCGTTAAAGTCGCTTTCTTCTCCAGCCGTGGAGCTTTGCGAACTGGTGCTGCTGGAACTGGTGCTACTGGATGAAGCATCCTCCTCCTCTTGGCTGCTGGTACTGCTGGCGTCATCGTCCGAACTGGAACTACTGGAACTCGAGCTCGAAGAGGATGATGAGGGTGAAGACACGGCTAGGCTAGCCATTTGTTTCGATGGTTCAGATGGTTCCGTTGCTGCTTCTGGGGTAGGTACCACACTATTTTTCAGCCAGGCTTGTATTTGCTCCTCCTTATTTGGGACAACGTCCTCCTCCGGCTTTGGTATAGAGTCCTTCACATCCTCCTCGCCTTCGGGCTCCACTCTAAGTTCTATTTTTGGCGACATATTGGTGTTTTCAATGTCATCGAATCCCTTGAAGTTCGATTGTAGCTCCAGGGATTTGGTGTCCAAGCCCTGTTCATCCAGAACTTCTTCAGTCTTATCTTTGTAGCTGTAGCCACTCTTGATGACCGTTTCTCGATCTGTTCCACTCAGTAGACTACTTCTGAATTCGGAGGAATTCAAGGCCGAGACACTCAAGCCCTTGAGACTGGGAGGATTGCGAAGTTTTGGTGGGGCCACGAATTTTTTCACCAGCCTCTTGATCAAGGGCAGTTGATTCTCCTTCAACCTGGTCATCTGCTTCTTCATTAGGATGGCTCGGAGTTGTCTAGTTCTACTGTAGGCGCTTCTCTTCCGCAACACTTTGAGCACCCTGAAGTAATGCCGATACTTAATTTTGGGACTCTCGAATATCAGGATCTTAAGCATCTTAATGCGATTTCTGCGCTTCTTGGCCAGGAGCTTTTTACTAGCTCTGGCCGAGGCTTTAGGAGAAAGGGAGATTACATTGGTACCTTGGTTAATATTTACCACCTGCTGTTCTATGTCCTTCTGATCCATGCTTTCCTGGGGCTCTGTCACCCTGCGCTTTCTCTTGTAGAACTTGAATCTTTTTGGGTTTTCCCTGTACTCGCCTTCATCCTGGACAGCCTCCTCCATCTCACTTTCGGAACCCTCGATCTTGTGTATAAAGGTCTCGTACTCCTTGGCAAATGTTGATTCATTGGAGTTCGAGCTGTTGTTCTGATCAAAGTCCATGGCCACAGGTGGCTTAGATACAAACACCTCATTGCTGTTCAGGATGGGACTTGGCAAGGGAAGGCTTGCCGAAGGTTGTTCCGTCATCAGAGGAGCAGTCACAGGTTGTCGAAGGATCTCCGCCAAGGCTTCGCTTTCGTTCACAGGTTGTTGCTCTATTGCACTCGTTTTCAGACGCAGTTCGTCCAACTCCTTCTCCACATCAAAACTGCCAAAGGAATCGTCCACAGGAGCACCGCCATTCCCACTCGCCTTTTCAATGTCTATGATTATGTCTGGCAAATTGATACCCTGATGATCCACGACAGCCGTGGCTTGAGGTCCAGTCGGTGGCAGAGATTCGTACATATAGTTGGGGGTACTGGGCACAGGAGCCACAACGGCGACAATCGGGGGATCCAACTCGAGGACAGCACTCGCCTCATCCTCATCGTCCACCTTCCAGGTGGAGAGAAAGTCCCGAATGGTCTGCGTAGATTTCGCCGACTCCACAGTGTAATTCAGGTTGGAGGGCGCCGAGGCATGGAGATTGAAGCCCACAAAGTTCTCCACTTGGGCATCGAGACTGGCCAGCGGTCCGCCTCCTCCACTGCTCGTTTGTGTTAGATAACAATTTCCCGAAGAGGAGGCCCCCACCATTCCAGATCTCTTGCGATAATCCGGATAGGGCTGGGATCGCAATGATTGCTGGGGCATCGAGGGAGATCCGTAGCTGTCCAGGCTGTTGAGACTAAGATCGTTGTAGTAGCCCCCGTTGCCGGGATCCATGCCCATGCCCATTCCGATGCCCATTCCCATTCCCATGCCACCCATTCCGAGGCCAGGAACCAAAGGTGCCGCATACCTTTGACTGTTCATGTTGCTCGATGTGCTTGATCCTGGATTATATCCATAGCCCAGTTGATTGGGAGTGGTTTCGTAGGGTCCATGGCCCACGTACATGTCAGTCGGATGCTTGAGCTTCATAGCGGCGGCAGCGGAGGATCCCGTGCCCGGTGGATATTGGGGCTGCGATTGCGGTGCACTTCCGGCTGATCCATAGGGTGCGGAAACCATGGATCCATAAGCGTTACCCCTCGGGTAGTAGCAGCTCTGCTGGTTCAATGGGTATCCCTGGGAGCAGCAATTCTGGCGGGAACTGGCCGGAGCACTCTCATTTCCTGACCACAAAGTCCGGCCCGCATAGGACTGCGTGATCGATGGACCTGTGTAGGGGTTATTGACATAGGGCGGTACACCGGTGCTTCCGTATTTATCGTACTTCGTTGAGCCATAATACAATTCACTGTTGATGGATCCGGGTCCAGGTCCAGGCCCAGGAACGGGTCCAGGTCCAGGTCCAGGTCCCGGATGTGGGTGATGGTAGGAGCTGTTGGCCACCGTCGCCGGCGGCAGAGATCTGTAGTTGGGCGAATTGTAGTCTACGCCCCAGTGACAGTTACTCGTGGACTTCCTGTAGGTCTGCAGTCCCGAAGATTCAGGTCCCAAATCCGGCTGGCTGTACATGGGCAGACCTCCGTTCGGCGAATACATGGACATGGCCATCCCATACTTGTCGTAATATGGGGCCGACGAGGGGTTACTGACCAATCCGCCGGAGCTTCCACCAGAGTTTCCTCCGTAAACCGCACCCGTGGGCATTCCCTGATAGCTTCTGCTGGGCTTGATAGGCGCATAGTTGGGCTCCAGTTGGGTGAGCTGCGTCTGCTGTGGCATGTGCGTCTGTTTCTGGACCACCGCAGCGGGATTCAGGGGTAGGCCCTGGCTGTACGAGGGACCCGGAACCGTAGCTCCCGTCATATTGCTCGGCATCATAGGTTGCGACGTGGCCTGTCCATTGGGGGGCACCTTGTACTTGTAGGGATCGTACATGGCATTTGACTGGGTCATATAGCCGCCGGAACCCGCCGGCTGGGCGTAAAAGGGCGTGGCCGTGGCCTGCGGTTTGATACCCGCACTTGTACCTCCCATGGTACTTCCTCCATACTTTACCCCCGAACTCGGCGCCAACTTTTCGTAGCGCGGTCCACTTACGGGATAACTATTGCCGGAATGTTGCTGACCCACCGCACTGGGCGCACTGTACGTGTTGTACGGAGCTCCACTGTAGTTGAAGCCGGGATCCAGGGGCAGGGAATTTCCGTATGCGTAGTTCTGGTGATAGTAGTGACCCGGATTCTGCTGCTGTTGCTGCTGTTGCTGGCGCTGCTGGGCATCCAACGAGGTGAGGGCCTCGCTGTAAAACGGAGCCACCGTGGCAATGGTGGCCATGGGCATCGAGGTGGGCGAATTCTCGTAGTGACCGCCGCCGGTGGGCGTGGTCGTGGCGCTGCCGTAGCCGCTGCTGCTTCCGCTGCTGCTGCTCCCTGGCCCGGAACTCGAGCCGGAGCTCAGCCCGGATACGGATCCGGAACCGGAGGAGCCCACGGCAATGGCCATGGCGGCCGAGTCCATGACCGCTTGCATCTTGTTGGCTGCAATAAGGAAATTGAGTTGGCATTTATCATAAAGTCGGTGGAAAGTTTAGAGAATAACATTAAAGAAAATATATACAAATTTTTAAAATTATCTATCACTTTCTGTTGTTTTCCCCTTAAAATACCTACAATACCAATGTCATGAAATCAATCAATCTTGTGACACGATAAGATATCCAAGTAACTTCATTAAAATTTATACCATAATGATGATCTAGAAACTTTCAGAATTTGTGAGCACAAGACCCATTAGTTTGATTGATGAACAAATGGATTAAAAAACAAATTTCTTAATAATTGTAATTGCTTAAACCAACAGATGGTTTTGGCGAAATTGGTAAACCAATATTTGAAGATATTAAACAAAACGACCAACATCAACCGAACAATCAAGGAATCAGGCCAACATTATTTATTCAAAATCCAGGAATACCTACAATTTTAAGTGGTTAATAAGCTACCGAAACGGCTAGGAATTCCCATTTGTCAGGTCCTGTCGACATATGCGTACAATGTGCATTCCACCCACCTGCCAAGGCTATCCCAAGCCTCCTCCTTTCGAGGATTTCCCCTTCATTCACTCGGCTGCATTCTCAAATTGCATTCGCAATTGTTAAAGGTCCCCCACACCGCGAACAGGAAAAAGCAATTATTCCGTGGCATTTAAATGTAAAATGGAAAGCCCCACAACATACACCGCCCGACGCCCCCGCGACAGTTTCGCTTTTGTTGGTCATTAAATGTGGTCTTCAACGGCACGCAGGTCCTTCGTGGTCCTTCGTACTACTCCTGGCAAGTGTGTCAGTGGGGTTTTTGATGTCTAAATGCAGCGAGGTGGGGAGAAACGCACTGAGAAAAAAAAACCATGTTATATGTAATATGATATTCAACATATAAAAATCGCAGAGCTACACTACAAAAAGAATACTTTAAAAATTGTAGACACTGTAACACTCCTAGTTCGAGCTCTTCATTGATTCTTACAATTTAAACTGCAATATTATATATATAGAATATATCTCTATCACAAGAAAAGGCACAGTTGTGACAGAAATTACTTGCTTATGCATATCATAGAGATAAATGACTGCTTTTCTCCCTGTGCACAACTGACTGACTACAAAATAAAACGCGCGCCTCGGCTTTGTGAAATGGAAATGTGGAATGTTCATGAAATATTAATGATTGACCCCGCCACACACACGCACACAAAAGGGTGGACAATGCAAAGAGCAATGGTGGCAACAACATTTGAACCCCTTTGCCACGCCCACTCAATGTCAGCGCCCACCGCAAAGTGGGCCACAACCATTCACACACTGGGAAAAACCAATAATTGTGGGAGATAATTGTCGGAAGCCAATGGAACCCCGCTCCCTAGTCATCAATACCTGTGAGCTCGGGCAGAAGCAGCACACTGAGAAAAACCGGACGAGTATAATTTGATATGAAGGTTTTCTTGGAGCTAGCCATCACAGAACCGAACAGTTCAGCAGCGGTTCCCTTTCTGAAGTCCATGTTCGATTCGAAAGCTTCCACAGAAGATGAACAGTTCCTAGAATATGTTAAGATAAGAATAATGGCTCTTGGAAAATCGCGCTTAACCTTTAAGCTCTGGACAAGATTAAGCATTAACGACTCATATGAAAGTTGATATGGCGTCGGATGATACGAAAGGCGCATTTTGAAGTTTCAATAGGTTATTTGTAAGAATTCGAAAAGAGTATAGGTGTTCTTAAAAAGTTTCACTTGTTATATATTATAATATAACTAAGATCTCTATAATCTTACAAAGGGATTCTAATTTTGGTAAAAAACTGTTGTTTATGTTCATTATAACTAGTTTAAATTCTGAAACACCAAATGTCCTATAGAGACACTTTCAAGAGTTTTAAAACATTTTTCCGGCCGTGTACTAAACCCGTAGTCGTACCCTTCATCCCTTTGGCTCCGCCGTAGTAACCCGGTGGGAATTCCATCCACAATCCATTGACGACCACCTGCGAGGACCACGGACATTTCCAACCGTAAGGACAACTACTGTCCGCCGGCAGCCACATGGTTTGTACTACAAGCAATTGGACAGCTGGACAAGTGAACAATTGGAACAAAAGAGCAACGCGCACGGAATAAAATTAAAACGGAGTATAGTACACCGAGCACGGCGAGTGACGAACTGGAATTCATTATGATAATTCACTTTCGCCCAAAGCGAATATTATTGATGACCCGGGTCCCGAGCAGTCGGCTCTGGATAATCGACCTCTGCCTTCCGATCCGACTCGATTCGGGTCGGGCTTTTAGTCTAATTGGGCGTGAAGCGACCATCCGGAATAAATGAGATCGCGATTGCCGGATTGTCGGCGGCGACTGTAGGCTTTGGCTTTAATCGAAATGGGATCGCAATGCAAATCACGAATGGAGCCGGTTAACTGAACCGAAAGCGGGAAATGGTAATCGAAGAAGTTCGGCTCGCCATCCGATATACTTGTACACAAAAAAAGCCGGGCAGCGTCGCCACTCGAGCGCATTGCGTATACGCCCAAGGGTACAACGATATCGGAGATCACCACAATTGAATAACGTGGAATTGAGGTAATGGAAAGTACAAGTGTGTCTATCTCTAAAAAATCGAGTCAAAGACGAAATCCATAATTAACTCAATTACAGAATGCGAGGTAAATAATAAATGAGGGTACAAAACATTCATATAAGAAGATGTTTCAGGACAAAATTTTCAGCGTTAGCATTAAATGAAAAGTATAAAAAACAGCGGAGATAGAGATATGACTTGGTAACTACTTAATAAGTGGGGCACTTCACTTCACTTCACTAAATTATTTTTAAATGCCAATATTCTAATAAGTCAGCTGTTCAAAAGTACATTTATTGAATTAACACCCCAAAAGTAACAACAAAATGCTATTAGTTTTAAAATAAAAAAATCAACCTTAGAATTTATAAATATTTTATTACAACTTTCAGAAGCACAAGTCAAGTTAAACAGCTAACAAGCAGAATTCCTAAGGAGAATCTTTCTCTAACTAATTTTGATATAAAGAAAATAAATAATAGACATATAAAAGTATATAAAAATACTTGAATGATGAGCCATAAAGAACATACATTTGAATTCAGGCCAAGTTTAATGAAATTCTTACCGAAAAAGCGAGGAATTATGCTGCCATATGTTGGGCACAGAAAAAAGGCGGGCTAACACAAACACAGCGATACACAACTGCCCAAGTACACACCCACGCGGAAGGACACTGTGTCGTGGAAGTGTTAGTGTGTGTGTGAGAGTGTGAGTGAGGGGATTCCCCACACAGCTTGGCCGTTGTTTTAATTATGAAACTTTGAGGACTGCAGTTATTTTTACGAGAAGGAGGCGTGACAGCGCGTGCGACTTTCCAGCAAAAACTTATTCATCTGTTGAAGCCGAGGAATGTGACGTCGAAGCTGACATTGGCAGCGGCGCCGGCTGCGACGCCAGCAGCGACGCCTGCGCCGACGCAGACGCCGAGAAGGAAAAGCCGACGCGGAAAAACCCCCCGAAGGGTGTGTGGAAAAAAAGGAAAAGACAGCCAACAAGTTTAGTTGTGTGGGTTCTCCGTAAGAATGTCCGGGTGTGTGGATGTGTGTGTCTGTTGTTGTTGTGCTTGGGAAAACAAGTGGTTGCCGTGGTGAGAAGAAAACGGGCACGAAAATAGAGCGAAAGGCTTGAGCTGGGAAAAGGAAGGGCGACTGCATCGCCACCCTGCTTAAATTTTAATGGGAAATGCAAACCGTTGACCTATTCAAGTTATGCAGAACAGTATCTTATGGATATATAATTGCTCTGCCCGTACACTGACAGATACTTCGAGTACAGTTGGATTAACGCAAAATCTTCTGTACTTTAATGTAGCCCAAGGGACTTGGATAGCAAAAAAAGATAATGGAAAAATATTTGTCGGCAGCTCTACAAATTAATAGATCCGTAGGGAAGAGTTACCTGAATCATTAGGTTTCTAGAAAAAGTGTCTGCAGGAAAATAAACAATTCGGTTAATGCTTACAATTATTGTGGGTATTTTTTTCTGTTTATTTATTATATCCCAGTTCAGCATGCCACTCACTTAGAAGCAATTACAGGGTCTGCCAGTGCAGCCGCTCCCGAAGCAGTTTGCCAGACATGTGACAGCCCTGGATCCCACACTCCACCCCGATACCATCGAGTTTCCAGGTCCTTAGTCCTGAAATGGACGGAAATGAAGCCGCCGCTCATAAGCAAACATGACAGCTCCACGCTCCCATTAGCGTTCCAATTTTGTTGTTTGCAACTCCTTTCTACCCCCTTTTCCCCATTTCCCAATCCCCATTTCCCATTTCTCCATTTCCAATTTCCAGTTCGATGACGAAGCGTGACAAATAATAACAACAGTGCCTTCGAGCTAGCGAAATGATTGGAAAAGTGCATCGAGGGCTTTCCACCACCACCGCTGGGAGGTGACAGACCCTTGGAAACTTTGGGGCCTACCGGAGTGAGAGTTGCTTAAATAGGGCTAAACCATCGACCGCAAAAACAAATTAAGTAAATTCAGTAAACAAGCAAACAAGCGACAACAACAAATCTGGCTTTGTGGTAAAAGAATTGGGGGAGAGGCGATGCACAGAAAATAAAAAATGACTCTTTAACCCTATAGAGCCAATCTATGGGCAAGAAATATGTAGTTTATTTATCATCACAATATCGTTCATTACTTTTTTCGCATTTTAAAACATTTTACAGCGAGCTTGCTGTTGATTCTTTAAGGTATCTTTTATACCAAAATTAACCGAAATCCGAGACTCGCCTACACCTTTTTCCCAGTGTAAAGAGGGCAGCTCAAAAAGAGAATTGAAATAAACAATGAGCAGCAAATGGGCAAAAAGCAAGAGCTAGAAAAAGTGGAAAAAAGCAACAATAAAATAGGCGACAAGCAGCAACAACGGGCAATCATAAAGGCAACGCAATCAAATGATAATAAAAAGCAGCGACGATTACGCCGGCTGCGCCGCCAGCGGCGCTGCCACAGTGGGGCTTCAGCTCCCCGATTATTTTGCATACTACCTATATATACCGTATGTGCTGTACGGTGTGTGGGGTGTCTCAAAGGTGAAACGCGAAGAAAGAGCGGAGAAAGAGGGGCCAAGACCGAGCCGAAGAAGCTATAGCAATTCCCAATTCCACATTCAAATGCAAAACAAATTCAAGAAAATCGAACAACAGAAAGAAGCTAGCGACGTTGACAAAACCGAAAGAAAGACGGAAACTTGGTGTCATCGTATAAAAAACGAAAACAACCCAGGTCGCAATTATGCGAGTACCCAGTGAACCCATAAGACGGATTGAATCTGCGCTAATTTATGCGACTCCAAAGGGTAACGAGTGTTAAAACAAACGTCCTAATCAAAGCAACGCTTTTTATCTTATCTTTGACCATCTACTATTTTCTGGCAGTGAACTTGGTTGTTAAAACAATTCAAAATGAACTAATTCAAACCCATTAACCTTTGATGTAAAGTCTAACATCAAGTATACGACCTGTGTTCTTGCAGTGTTTTTAAAACACTAAAAACTAAATGGAAAACGTTTGACATTAATATTTTAAAACACATGAAAGAAGTTATTTATTTGTTGGAATCGTAAAGCTTTCAATGTTTTGTTTATAAAAAAATTCTAATCAGATTTATGAATTATACTTATCTTATCTGAATTGGTATCATTACAAACAAAAGCAACCGATTATTTTGACAAATGTTTTGTTATTATTTAGCTTTATGGGATTAATGAGGAAATAGTGGCAAACACGTATTTCAAATAGTTACGAAACTCGTTAACGAAAAAACCTTTTATGCTATTATGTAATTGGGGTCTTGAGTAGAATTGTAATATGTTTTTTTAAATGGGGCTTCTAAACCACTTGGACATTTCACCTATGAAAACCCTGACCGGCACAGCTATTTTCTTGACCCCCACTGTATGCCCATGTAAATATCTGAGCGTTATGTGGCCACGGCAAAATATTGATTGAAAATCAATAGGCTCGGCCGCTTGTCATTCATTCTCTATGATTGCCCGGCGGCGGAGAACTCGGAATTCAAATGTCGATGCCATCCAACTGCCAGCCGGCAAACTCACTTCAATCATATATAGAAGTCTATATATAAAGCGGAGTGTATATCTGGCATTCGAACGTTAACATGCACACTCGTATGTGTGTCAGTAGTTTTGATGTTCGTGCGTGTGGCGATGACAAGCTCGGCTTGATAATTTAAACACGTAGCCCTCGACCAGAGCTTCTGCCATGGACTGCGCCCCCGCCCCCGCCCCAAGCCACCACCCATCGTCCACCCCCCGAGCACCCACCCCCCCTCGCAACCCCACAGTCCAGCACCCAGCGACATCACCGACACACACACTTGCATACACGCCATAACGTATAGAGCAAAACAGACGTACAAAATCGAAAAGAAAAAAAAAACACAAAAATGTCAACACACTTTTATTGTTGTTGATGTAATACCCTGCACTGATAGGGGAACTTCCCTTTCCCCATCAACTACCACTAGTAGTGCCACTAAAGTTAAGAATGTCTGTAAGGAAAAAAACACTGAAAGAAATGCAGGTTGTTTCCAAGTTCCAAATATAGAACTCAAATATTATTTGAAACATAAGACAGTAAGAGGGTTTCGAGGTTCTTGCTATGATCAATGTAATATGATAGAATATCGTTTCGTGTGAGCTATGTGCACAGCGGAACTTGTTGTATACTGTATGTGTCGGCAGAGGTCCGGCAGATAAATATACTTTAATGGAAAAAAGGGAAAATGGAAAAGGGTTCAATGGATAGTTATGGCATTGATAGCACTTTTTAACTTTCTTATCCTTTTCATGTTTAAGATCTTTGATCCTGCCACAAAAGTCTGGTCTACTTCAAAGGGTATTTTCCGTTCGAATATTTGATGATGGGCATTATTATTTCTGCTGTCTGTGTGGCGCTTTTTGGGGCTGTCGTTGTAATCGACTTTGTTGTTGCCTGCCGCAAAACAAAAATGCCAAAGAAGAGAATAAAGTGGAGCACCCAAGTCGGCGACGTCGACGGTGGCAGCGACGCCAGCAGCGTAAGCCGCACTCAGCAAAAATGTGCGAGAGGGGGGGCAATGAATGGGGGGGGGGGGGCGTATGCACTCAAGCAGCAAATAAACCACGTATTCACACACACTCGCACACACTCGACATACTTACACAGATATTTACAAAAAATCTAGACAAAAAAAGCAGATCAATTTTGATGTCTTATTAAGTGATCTTTTCTTAACCACTTTATTATTTTCCAATAAAAAAGGTTCAAAAATTTTAAGTTTCGAATAAATTTTAAAACGATATATAAAATTAAATGAATTATTCAAGTTATACCTATTAACTAATTATAAGGTCTTTAGTAATAGTAAATATTTTTGTTTTTCCCTATCCCATCGTATGTCTATTAAGTCCTAATAAATCTTAAATCGAATAAATATTTTTTTCTGTGCACGAACCTCAACAGTTTTTCGACATTTTGTTGCTATTTTCGCTGCTGTTGTTGCACCCTCTGCCGCAGTCGCAGTCGGCGTAGACGGCGCAGTCGCTGCTCACTTAAACGTTCTTTTCGCTGCCGCTGCTCTGCCGCTGTTGTTGTTTGTTTTTGTTGTGTATTTTTTCGCCTTGTTTCGCTTGATTATTTTGTGTTTTTCTTTTTATTTTGTTTTTTTTTCTCCCTCGGCTTGTAACTTGCAATATAATTTAATAGTAACTGATGTGCTTGCTGCTGTGGCTCGTCGTTGTTGTTTCTGTATTCGGCTACGCACTCAAACATACACGGAGCGAAAATGCGGGGGGTAAATAGCAAGTGGCACAAGTTTGGCTTTTCACCTTCAAGGCAACACGCGGCGTATACGCGATATCCGCTGATAATAACCAAATAAGTTTATTCTCCTGCACTCTGGCTCTGCTTTTCCCACTTTTAGTATTACCTTCTCCTCGGGCTGTGAGCACGAATTAGATATGACAGTTGGGGACGGAACGGAACGTCAGCAAAACACACATGTTAAAGCCGGCATTGAAAACGCTCTATTTCCCGAACTACGTATCTTTTTCCAGCGCACACTTGCACAGGTGGCAAAAAGGCAAAAAAGCGGCGCGTAAACGGGCGGAGAACAGAAACAGAAATTATACAATGTTCCGTAGTGGTAGTAAAATACAAAAGTTAATAACAACGCGACAAACAGAAAAAAACACGCCAGAACGTAACCGAACGAACGGAATCCAGCGATGCGATGCGCCAGCGTAAACGCGTCCGTGCACGTCCGCTCTCTTCGAAGTGAAAAACGCGAGTGAGCGTTTCGACAAACGGTAAAAGCACACACGGCGGATGAGTGCTAATTGCGCTCAGCACGCGCCGCCATATGGGAATGGGAGAGAGCGAGAGAAAGCCGTGGAGAGTGTGCAACGCTCTCTTCTTCGGTGTGCGAGGGAGACAGCTCACACAGGTGGTTGGAGGGGGTCGCTCTATACACCGAAAGAAAAGCTGTGCGATATCAAATCTACCTGCGCATGTCAAATATTTTTGTTTATTTTCGCATTCAGAAGTTAAAAAACTTAATTTTTAAACAAAATTATATTCAGGTTTTTCGAATCGGGAATTACTTATATTCATTACACTGCATTCTCCTAAAGATTTTCTTAGGGACCTAAAACGCCTAGTGATATCTTTCTGTGCAGTCGAACCTGCGGTATTGGTAAACAATGGTCGCGTAAATGTTAAGAACCAAAGCAATCAAGGGGGTGCTAATTGAACTCGGCTGCTCTCATGTGCTATATTCACCGTTAGACCAAAATAACCGACGTTGCCTGGCAACGCCTGCATTGAGCTTGAAAGTAACGTATTTTGACCCATGGGGCTGCCAGACAGAGGAAAATTTTAGATTAGACCACCTGAATATACAGGTCAAGACTCGTATCTTGGAATTCATTAGAAGTAACTGATAATGCTACGAATATAAGACTTCCCTGTACTATATGCTGAATTTATAAACTCATATGCTGATGGTGAATCAAATCAACAGGTTCGCCGAAAGTATGCTAATATTAATCAAAGGACACAAGACTTAAATGTTCTGATTTTCCTTTCAATATTTTTTTATTATTTCGGTAATTTTAACTAATTTTCGTAAATAAGTGAAATTATTAACTAATTTCAAATCTTGAAGGTTTTCGTTTGTATTAATTTTTATTGAATATTTTTTGTTTGCCAGATAAGAAGGGTCATTTGATAACCTGCTCGCAGCGGCTTTAAAAAATGAGCTGACAAAAAGGAAGCTGTTCATTGATTTCTTAGCAACGAAACTATCAACATCGTTTTTGGAACCTGAATCTTTTCCTGGGAAAAATCTTAGGACAACATCCTTGATCGCCACCCCTAGAACAAGTGGAAATCCGGTTTCTTAACTTTTCGCTAACTTTCCAATAAAGTATTACTATTCTGAATGTAAGTAAACCAACATCAACCCGAATGGACAACATTATCTTAACTTGAAAAGGTAAACATTTTTAAAAATTTTAAAATTTAAAAAACAGTTACGAAAAACTTTTTCATTCTGTTAAAAAGTGTATATTAACAGCGGGTTAACATTTGTTAGGCATTTAAGCGGGTGTCTCCGCTAGGTTAGCCAAGACTCCTGACAGTTTAGAGTGACCGTCTAAGGAATTTCTTTTGGTATATTTGAACACATAAAAATGGTCTTAAAAGTATATTTCTAAGTGGTCTTATTGAACGCCAGCTGAAATTGTGAAATCGAATCGTGTTAGGAGTATATATTTGATTTAAAGATCCCTTAACTAATTTTTAACTTCTTGCCAAGATGACCGAAGATTGGCAGAGCCAGAAGTTCCGTCAGAATGTCATCTCCAAGATGTAAGGTTCGGCGAAATGTGCAATTCCACTGCTTAAACCTCTGTTTTCCTTGCAGCCACGACTTGTTGCCACCGAATGCGCAGGACCAGACGAAAAATGCCGGCGTTATGGAAAGCCATATATTCCGGAAGTCGCGCACCAAGGACGAGTACTTGGGTCTAGTGGCCAAGCTGTTTATGCATTACAAGGACATGTCCCGGAAGTCCCAGCAGCAGCAGCAGCAACAGCAACAACAACAACAACAACAGCAGGGCGGCCCGCCTCCAAATGCGGAAATGGGCGGCGGGCAGAATATGATGCAAGATCCACTGAACGCACTGCAAAACCTAGCCAGCCAAGGCAATCGCAATCCCCAGATGATGCCCATGGGCGCCGGTGGCGGTGCTCCAGTGCCGGGTGGCCCTGGAACCGCCTCCAACCTACTGCAATCCCTGAATCAACAGCGTCCCGGGCAGCAGCAAATGCAGCCCATGCCCAATATCCGAGGTCAGATGCCCATGGGTGCCGGTGGTGGTGGTGGAGCCCAGCAGATGATGCAGGTGCAGCAGATGCAACAGGGTGGAAATGCCCCCGGAGTGATGAACGTGATGGGAGCCGGCGGCGGGCCGAATCAAGGCCAGATCGTCGGCAATCCCGGGCAGCAGATGGGCGTGGGCATGCCCAACCAAATGGTGGGACCGGGGCCAAACAGTGGACCCGCGGTGGGCGGAGCCGTCGGAGCAAATGCTGCTCCTGGAGCAGCTGGCCCCGGACCAAACCAAATGCAGGGCGGGCCGATGAATGTAAATGCCATGCAACAGATGCCACCCATGCAGCAGATTCAGCAGAACCAAATGGGAGTAAGTAATTACTCATCTGATTAAAAATCAAATATTACATATTCTTCTTCCCTCCCAGATGGGCATGAATCCGATGATGCGGATGGGTCAAGGCAACGGCATGGGCGGACCTCAGGGAATGCCTGGCCAGGGCATGCAGGGGATGCCGCAGGGCCCGCACAATGTGGTTGGCGGTCCGGCGGGACAGCAGCAAGTGGGCGGAGCAGGCCTGCCGCCTAATGCAGTCCAGCAGGGTGGGATGAACCCAATGGGCGGTATGGGCGTAAACATGCCACCGAATCTGCAGCAGAAGCCCAACATGCCGATGGGCCAGGCAGGTCAAATGTTCCCCGGAAATCGAGGCGGTGTGGGAGTCGGCGGTCAGCAGCCGGGACAGCCCTTCATGCGATCCAGTCCCTCGCCAGCGGATGCCCAGCAACTGCAGCAGCAGGCTCAGCTCCAACAGATGCAACAGCAACAGCTGGTGGTGGGCAATCAGACGCCCACGCAGCAGCCTCCGACTCCGCAGATGCCCACGCCGAATATGATCCCAAGTCCGGCACTGGTGCCCCAATCCAGTCCGCAGATGATGCAGATGCAGAATCCGCAGCGCAACATTCGCCAGCAGTCGCCGAGTGCCTCGATCAATACACCTGGTCAGGTCACCGGGAACAGTCCGTTTAATCCCCAGGAGGAGGCGTTGTACCGCGAGAAATATAAGCAGCTTACCAAGTACATAGAGCCACTGAAACGGATGCTAGCCAAGATCAGCAACGATGGAACAAGTGAGTACATGATGCACATAAAAATATACTTTATTGGCGATTTGTATTTTCAAATGACACCTGCGATTTCTACTTTTAAATATTAAAAATACTATGATTTTTACCCTGTCCCGAAAGATTTTTCATCATATTCAAAACTATTGTATTTCCATAACTATTGTCGAGTATGGGTGTATCTTATTTGATTCTAGGCAAATAATTTCACTTTCTTCAAGGTAGGAATTTACATTGGCGTTAAAAATTAAATTAGTAACCGAATTTAATACATTTATATCAGTGTGTTTCATTAAAAACCGCATCAATTTAGTTAGCCTCAAACACTGAGAATGAATGTAGTTTTAATTGCTGTTTTAATTTTGCCCCTGTTCGGTTACATTCTTGGCCTAAAGGATCGTGAGTACTAGCAAAGAAAAACAGTTTGAATATCGCAATCCATTCAATACTTTATAAATTTAGCAATCTGCGGCCTGCATCCAGAATTTCATGGACTGTGCAAGAAGGGTGTTCGTGGATTTACCTATATGCCCATGCTTAATAAATGCAAACCCATTTTCGGAGATTGTAAAGGATCCGGAAATTTTTTCACACAGATGAGTTCTTGCGAGGCAAAATGCAAGAAGTAATAATCAAATGTGCTTGACAATTTTAAATTGAAAATGAAATAATAAAGAATCATAGAAGGGCTGATACTTAAGTTTCTGGCCTAGCCATATTAGGTCCAATCGAGCATTTCCATAAAAAAAAGTTTGGACTTTTATCAATAAAGGCTCCATACAACAATTGGATTATTTATTTAAAGAATTCATCGTGGTCGACTTTAACACATCAGTTCAAGCCAGCGTCTTTTTGACCGGCCAAAACGTCAAATTGATGGGTTATCCGACGTACAGCCCTGAGTTGGCCTTTTGTTTCTCCACATAAAAAAAAGAAATTCGTGGTCAATGATTTTCGTCACTAGAAGATGCTGTTAAACCATTTAAAAACCATGTTTTGGAGGTGTCTTAGACTAGAAATACATATAGCAACACTCGTATGTCTATTCTATTTATTTTGTAAGAGCATTGGTGTTCTAAATAAATCCCAATTCCCGTTTCCTTCTAGATGTGGAGAAGATGACCAAGATGAGCAAGTTGCTTGAGATCCTTTGCAATCCTACGCAGCGGGTTCCGCTTGAAACTCTCCTAAAGTGTGAAAAAGCTCTAGAGAAGATGGATCTGATCTCCTACTCCGGCCAGCAATTTGGAGTAAGTATAATTGTTTATTCAGCAGTACAATTTTATTACATTTTATAATTATTCCTAGAAATCCTCGAACCCTTTGCTGGAGGTTATAAATACCACGCTGCAAAGTCCTGTAGCCAATCACACACTGCATCGCACCTTTCGACCCACATTGGAACTGCTCTTTGGCACTGATATAACGGCTCCGGTACCCACAAAGAGACCTCGAGTGGAGGAAAAGTCCTCGCCCTTCGAGCAGGATGTACCACACGTGCTACAAGGCGAAATTGCACGGCTAGATAGCAAGTTTAAGGTGAAGCTGGACACCACATCGCAGATAAACAACAAGGCCATACGCTTGATTTGCTGTTTGGATGACAAACGATTGCCCAGTGTTCCGCCAGTGAGTGTCAGTGTGCCCGAGGAATATCCCTGGCAGGCTCCGGACTGCTCCCTAGTGGAACAGGAGTATTCGGCCACCCCCTTCCTGCAGACAGTCCAACAAGCTCTCATCGCTCGCATGTCCAAACTGCCCAAGAACTACTCCCTCTCACACCTCTTGGACACCTGGGAAATGGCCGTGCGCCAGGCGTGCTCCCCCCAATCGAAACCCAGTGCAGTTTGCGAACTTTCCACTTTGCTGGGAGTTTAGGCTAACTACGTGGATACACTACAACACAACTATGATAACCGATTCTAGAATAAGCTGAATGTACGGGAAATCGAGTAAGTCTTCAACTTGTTTGTCTTCAATACAAAAGAGATTCTAATTATTTCTTTTATTTTAGATCCCTACATATCCCCAATTTTAAACATGGTTTGAGGATCTGTATCTCTATACATTTAAGATAAAATTAAAATAAATAATTTAATCTAAGCAAACTGGAAGTCTTGCTGCAGCGTGGCAAATCAAATACTGAACATCTTCATCAACACAACACTTATCAATCAACACAAAAATACACAACCAAAATATCCTGGTAATCAAGATAATTCAAGGTTAGTTTAAGCCACTAAAGACTTATTTCCCCTTCAACTTTAAAACCATTCCTCAGATAGGCTTTATTCCCCAATTTTCAATTTCATTTCCACCCGCCCATTCATACAATCTTTCTCTTTTTTCCACATTTAGCAATAAATACAATTATGTGTGTTTAAGTTTAAGAGAATTAGACCGATAACTATGGTACAATAGAAAAGAGTTAAGAAAACTTAATTATCACAGATGTTGGGCGCCGAATGCGCCTCTATAATATATGTACAAGCACTAGGGGTATTCAGAATCTAAATCTGAAGAAGATCGCTAAGCTAGGAAGTGTGCTCTGTGCTCCTGGAAAGGAAGTGGCATCTATTTGATTTGTGTTTAACAGATGCGAAGCTTATTGAATTTGAAGTTGATATATGCACAAAACGATGACAAGATCTAGCTCTTAACTAAGCTTAAGACTACACCAGCTACACGAGGGGGAAAACTCGAAGTAAAATTCTGAATTTTTAGATTAGATGGAACATTCTCAATAAGGGAAAATTCGAGCTTCAAGTGTGGCCTTAATATACGATTTTACAAATCTTTACAGTAGTTCTTTAAAATAGGCATTCCGAATTCGACTTTGATGAAGATCCGCTCTGCATTTGCCTGATTTTGGTGGGAGTTTTGTTTTATCTGTTTAGCTGGCGATACTGTCGGGCTGAGATTGGTTCTGGTGCTGCTGAAGCTGCAGGTCGTCCAGCTTTTCTCATCGCTGCACTTGGAGCAGGGTTCCGCCGAAGGTGAAACTGCTGGCCTGCTGCTGAAGTCTCAGCAGATCCTGGGCGCTGTAGACTTGCAGACTGGCGGAGGAGACGGGCGAGGAGCAGGCGCTGGAGGCCGCCGGCGCTATCGCTCGCAAATGGAGCGAGGCATCGCAGAGGGATGGAGCTACCGAGGATGATGATGATGAGGAGTTGTTGTTGGCCAGGGAGACGTGCCGGTTCACTCCGTTCGCCTTGTCCTTGTTGTGCCGCTTGACGTGCTTGGAGAGGTGGTCGCTCCTCATGAATTTCTTCTGGCACACGCTGCACTGGAACTTCTTTTCGCCGGTGTGGGTCCGCTTGTGGCGGGACAACTCATCGGAGCGGGAGAACCTCTTGTCGCAGTTCGCCCACTTGCAGATGAAGGGTCGCTCGCCGGTGTGAACCCTCTGGTGGGCCTTCAGGTGGCTGCTCTTGAAGTAGTTCTTGCCGCACTCGGGGAAACTGCATTCGTAGATGCGACTTCTGGTGGCCGCCGCCTGGGCTGCCGTGATTCTCGTGGCGAGCTTCTCCTCGGGCAGCGTGGGCATGGTGGGTATGGGCGTGGGACTCTGTTGGGCGGCCACTGTGCTGAGCAGGATGAGCTGGCTGGCAGGCGAAGCCACTGGGGCCACACAGATGGGCGTCAGAATGGGTTTGATTTCCTCCTCCTCGGGCTTTTCCGCTGGAGTAGATGGAGCCGGAAGCTCTGGAGCTGGTGTCTCTGGTTTTTGTACTGGGGGTAGAGCCACTTCCGCAGCTCGCTTCCTGTTCATTTTGAACTTGAGATTGCGCCACACATTGGCCTCTGGGTAGTCGTCCTCCACAGCGGGCGGAACAAAGCTTGTACTTGTGGTGGTGTTGGAGGAGGAACTGCAGCTGGAACTGGATGAGTTCTCGTCCTGGTTGCTGGAAGAGACAGCACCGACACTGTTGACCCTCATGATGACGCTGACCCTCTCGGCCTTGTGCTCATCCTCCAGCTTCTGATCCGGTGGCGGTGTCATGGTCGTGGCAGGCTGTTCCAGGCGGGGCTTCTTGTTGGGAACCGCCATTTCCGGGGTCTCGTCTTCCGTGTCCGAGGGATTGGGTGTGATAATCCCTCCATTCTTCTGGCTCTTTTGGGCCACTAGCTTGAGTTTGGCCTTGAGCAGGTTCTCGTTAACCTGTTGCTCGTCCTTGGCGACCTGAAGGAGAAGAAAGAACAAGTTCAGGGTTAGTTGGAGTTCATCAAGGCGAGTTCATTGGCGAGTTCAGGTTCTCTGGAGTGCATTCACTTTCCCATTCACTTTTCGCTGACCAGCATTGACCCACAATAACTTTTCCCTCGCAATTCGCTAATTACGCCGACGGCTGGCAAGGCCGTTCACCGCTAACCTTCACACACCCTGCAGCACCCCACCCAACCCCAGGTTCAATGCTCCTACAAAAGGCCAAGGGGACATTGTTTTTGGCGGTTTTTGAACTGTTTTAAAGGCCGTTTAGGGTGAGAAATAATGATTCATTAAATGCTGTGCCGTGCTTTCCATTTTAAATGAGAATTAATTTGATATAATATATTGATTCTTGTCAAATATAAAACATAATTTATCAAACTTATAAATTTGAGAATTATACTTTGGAAAGTGGAAAATTTTTTTTTTCAGACATTTTTGCTGTTGTTATTTTATACATTACAAACATTTTTTCCATTAAATTTTTAATTTTCGTTGAGATTTTAATATTTTAAATATTTAATTTTCTTGAATGAAAATTTGAATATTTTTGAATTATTCTAGAACTTGTTGAAGGTCTTTACATTTAAAAAGTGCCGCCTGAAAGCAGGCAATGGAAAGTGCAGCCACACCACAAATATTATTATGACGTGCCTCAGGTGGGCGATTTCATGGGGGAAGGCGATTGCCATTCCGAGGGGTGTATTATGACTCGTGTGGAGACGTCGAAATCTTTTTATGGGCTCGGCACGTTGCGCTCAAATGTGCGACAGTGTTTGTTTGTTTCTTTCTTGGCCACGCAAGATAAAAAACGAGCCAGAAATGTGACATGACTTTATGGGTTGGGGCTTGGCCTGTTTGCCTATCTTTCGGGCCCCCTTGTCCCCATTCCCCCTACGCCCGTCCAGTTGCCAATTGGCAACTCACCTTCGCCGCTCTCAAACAAAGTCGGCGCGCTCTCTCGCTCTCGCTCTCTGCTTTTCTGTTGTTTTTTCCTAGTGGTGCCAAGTCCAATGTTCAGGCTGAGGCCCTCTCGCTCGCACCCGCACATCACTCGCTGTGCATGCGGTGTTCACGTGAAAGCGTGCTGACTGCGTGATCGCATGGCTGAGTGCGAGTGCGAGCGGGATGGAGCACTTTTGTTTTTAGAAACGCGGCAAGTGGAAGCGAGAACGAGCTAACGTCCGATTCCGTTTGATTTTCCGCTGCCTTGAATGCAATGCACCCCGTCCACCGTCCACTTCCACATCCACTAAGCACATCCACATCCACTATCCTCACTCAATGGGAAAAGCAATACACTATATCCACTTTGTAGGTCACTTACGTTTTCCAACTTATTATCCCTCAGCGGGGGTGTTGCGGGCGGTGAAGGTAGCAAGGTATCCATGTCCATTGCACTTTCAACTCTCAGATGCACTCTCTTTTTCGGGAAAGAGTCTTTGTTTGTTTATTTGTTTGTTGCTTTTGCTCTGTGGCTTATCACTTGGTTTAATCTCAGTTTGTGTAGATTTTTGCACTTTAGTTAACTTTGCACTGGGCGCTTTTCGAGTGCCGTTGCCGTTTTGGAGCGGAGGCGAACCGTTGCGTTCAGAATTCAAGAGACGAATGAAAAAGGCAAAGGCATTCAGCTCCCAGCAGAGCTGGCGCTGCCGACGCCGCTGCCGGCAGCGCGGTGCGCGTGTGTGAGTGAGTGGAGCCGCCGACGACGTAATCACTTGTAAGTGGGCAAGTGTGTGTGAGCGGGCCATCGTCATCGGCAGTGGAGCAACCAGTGCAATGAAACCCGGACGAACATCAGCCACCAGCAACGTGGGCAGCGCCTCCTCCCTTTCTCGTTCTCGCTCTCGGGCTCGAAAAAGGTCAGGTCTCCTCCTCACTCACCTCTGAGCAACCCACGTACACAGAAAGAAAGATCGATATTAAGAGGTCCCTGAAGCCCCCCATAATTGAATTTTGGTCACTTACTGTCTTTTTAAGGTCAATCAATCTCTCAGGACTGGAATCTCTCATGACGTAAAAATAATACTTCTTGTATGCTCTCTATGATTGATTTCAAAATCCTAACTATTTAATTTGACATTATAATCATGGGAGTTTTTAGTAATATCAAATCGGATAGAAACAAATATATGAGGTTAACATGTTGTTACGTGGTTCAAAATCATTTCAAAAACCCTCGAAGCACCTAATTGTTTCTTTCTGTGCAGGACACAGACACACAGGCAGAATGAGAGAGACCAATTGAGCACGTAACCAACGCATGGACGTCATCAGCTGTTTACTGCGGGGTCTTGTTTTTGGTGCTAGAGAGAGCGGGTCAGGCGAGGGGAGGAGCAGGGCAGGGGCTCCATGGGCTGTCTATTCATAGGCTGTGCATGCCCAAGCCGCGTGCACAGCGCACACAAACCAACTAACCAGCCAACACTCACAGACACACCCCAAAGCCGTGACTGAATAGCTGACGCAGTTGTTGCCACGGAAGTCTGTGATTAATCGAAAAAAAAACTTAAAAACAGGCTCGAAACCTGAGCAGACGCCCCTCAAGCTTAAATCTAAGACCTGACCGCATATATTTGCATTAACTTTAAATTCCAAGTCTGACTTTGAGCAGACGTAGATTTCATTAATAAACCAAAGGGGCAGAGCGAGAAAGCTAGAGAGTGTGGGAGCTCAACAGTTGAGTGATAGGCATTGCCAGACCCAAGAATCGGGGAGATAAGAAACATGAGTCACGGAAAACGGGCATATTGTAGTGAGCTTGCTTACCATCGGCATGTAACTCGATTAAATCGTTCAATGATTTATTTAATTTGATTGGAAAACCCACCCAGTAATCGAGTAATTTCCACCTGGCAATGCTCGATGCTTCGTCTGTAACAGTTTTCAAAGCAAAAAGGGGCTCGTGCACAGCACACATCGAAGAGAGCGCCAGAAACAGCTGTGACTATTATAAGGCGGCGCTCGCCTGCTCTCTTGCGCAACAACAACGAATAACTAGCACGCCATACCATTCCCCACACCAGACTTGTGGGGCGACTGTTCACGCCGTCGAGGGTATATGGGGGTATTATAGAGGGACGCTAAGTCTAAGACAGTCAAAGCTTTGGTCGAAAATTATAGAATAGACAAATGGAACATCTACAGATTTCTGACGAATATTATAACTTCAACTCTAACTGCCATCAACATATAATTTTTTTGCACTTACTTCTGGTCTTCCTTTTTTTTAAATACAATGCAATTTCTTTATTACCAGCCGAAATAGTTATTGGCGCCCAACGTGGGGCACAAAGCTTAATGGCTTTGTTAACCTAAATCTATAACTTTTTCTTTAATATTTTTTGTGGCGCCCAACGTGGGACCTTGGTAAAATTTTCAAATATTTCTTCTGTCTTATATTTCTTAGTAAAAACCCACTGTTTCGCTATGAGCTTCGGTTTTAGGTGGTATCCTCGGGTCGAACCCCTGGCGAATAACCTTCTTACTGGCTGAACACGCTTGCCTGGGCGTCTCTTGGTATGTGTGAGTGTCTGTGTGGGTCCGTCTGGTATCACGCGTTGACCTCATGATGTTCACGTGAACATTTGTTGATACTTTGCCTGAGCGAACGACTAAGTGGGTGCGAGCGAGAAGGGGCGAAAGAAGCCAGCAGTCTGTGGCGTGCCTATCTGTGTGTGTGCGAATGTGTGCGTGTGGGTGTTTGCAGTACTTGCGTTTTTGTTTTCGCTTCGTGTTTGTTATTGGAATCGGAATTTGTGTGTAAATTTTGCGCGGAACTGAAGCGATGGCCTCCACTCTCTCGCGAATGTGGGCGTGTAAATGGGCCGACGTACCGTTACCGCAACCACCACCCCCTCCCCCCACAGATTTTGAATGCAAACTGCGCCGCAGTTGAGTTTCCCCACAAATCCATCAGGCGGGAATTTATGTGCATTGCTAACGCTTAATACAATCAGCAGCCGCAGGTTAGATCTAAAATTAGCCGTACATCTCGGCTCCCCAGCGGGTTCAAGTTCAGTTCCCTTGACTTGCATTCGCCCACGGAGATCCCACGCCCACCCGCATTATCTCGGGTGGCGAAATCCGGACTCGCAGAACTCACGTGTGCCCACGCACATTCTTAGTATCACGTAGGCCGCTGGCCACTGGAAAAAATGAGGGTCAGTATTGTAAGATTTCATCTGATAAGATTACATTCCAGCTTTGGTAGATAAAGCTTTAAAAATTCATGAGATAGAGTCGGGGACTACACGATAGTGCTATGAATGTATACCGGTTAGATATTATAGGGTTTGTACAGAGAAGTTACATCCCAATTTTGTAAGCTATAAGTATCCAGATCCTGAGTAATGGTTACTTTAGTATAATTCTTAGTATGATTCTATTGTATACTCTTCAATTCCTAGATATGTTGCTATGCCTTCAGGAATGTCAAATATCTAATTTTAAGAATTCGTGAAACTTTTAAGTCGTATCTTTCGGATGACATCGAAACCCGTTCTTTTAAAACAATGAAGTGAACAAAAGACAATTTTTTTTGCGGTGTGCCGAAAAGGCCAACTTAGGGGGAAGGTGAGTAGCTGATAGCCCCTTCTTTTCTGCAGAGCGAGTTTGCGCATTGACGTAACTCTCGTCTGGCATCTGGCATTACGTAGCAGACGCGTTGGCTAGGTGACGTCACACCCACGCTGGCTTTTTGGTCCTGTTGCGCGTCAAAGGTCAAAGCGTAAGAAGCGTGACGTTGGCGTGAGCTTCCGCCGGGTTCAAGGCTTCCTACGCTCTGTGTTATTTATTAATGAGGAGAGTGGAGTGCCCAAGTGGGCAGACAGTTCTCGAACGGAGGCGTTGCTCCAAACGTCAATCACAGGTGGACACTGACGTCAGAGGCCCTTGAAGAAAGAACCGCGCTTATTGGTAATATTCATATTCATATATCCATTCAATCATGTACTCAGCGAGTGGCAGACAAAGTCCGAGCAAAAGTCATGCGAAATTGGTCTATAATTTGCCCCAGCAACAACGTCAAAAGCGTCAAATGTGACGCCCATTTTCCTATTTTTCCCCATTTCCCATTCAGCCACTTCCCGTTGCCCGTTGCGAGTTCAATTTGCCGAACATTTTCTGTTTGTTGGCTTTTCTTGGCACCGGGGCCTGGGTAAACCCCCATATCGTCCGATTTTTTCTACCCTCTCCATATTTCCTACAAAAGCGCGCCAAGATCGGCAAAACTCTCCATGACGTCATGAGCCTCACTCGTGACTCCAAGTGAAGACTTTGTTAGCTTCTTGGCTTCGGTTTGTTTACACGTCTTCGATGAAAGACGAATTAAACAGAAATTTCCATTTAGCATAGTTGAAAACATGTTTACAAACATGAAGATTTTCCACAATTGAACAGATTATGGGCGCTCTTGAAATGGGTCAAGCTGGTTTCTCGAAAAACAGACTGAACAAATACTGGAAAATTTCGAAAAATGTTATTTTATCATTGTTTAATGATTAAAAATCGTATACCAGTCCCTATACAAACCTATTCTACTTTAATTTTTTCCTGTATTTCATCATTGGGCGAAAATTTATTTTATTTGTCTAAAAGTGCGGTCATCTTTGCAAACAGCATCGATATTTTTAAAGTTCTGGATTATAAACGCAATATACCAAAATATTTATCTTTGTGATAAAGGCTCACATGACCAACTTGAGACTCATTTCTAAATTAAGACTTTCATTTTAATGAACGATCCTCGATCTTCTTTGGCTATTGATAAAAAAATAAAACCGAAGTAATGAAAGCATTTAATACGGTTTTTTGAAGATGTTTATCACATGGGAATCCCAAGGTATCTTTGTTTTAATAAATAAAACCTGATCCCTTAAGTGTTTGCAATATTAAAGAACTGTGCAACCCAACCCATTTAAGATTTGACGTTTAATTAAGAGAGGTATATAAATTAAGGGTAAGTCAAAGCTTCTCTTAGAAATACGAAGTGCCCTGTCAGCACTTATCTTAGTATCAGTGCTGGCAGTATAGATGCTGCCCTATAACTAGCCCCGATCTTTGCGGCTCCTTCCCCTTATCACGGATTCTAATCCCCTCACATGTGATGGGTTTCCTCTGCCTCTGTCGACGCCTCTGCCTACGTGCCTACTGACGCGTTGCTTTAAAACCGAAAGCTAAAAAACGGAACAGAATGGAACGAAACGTCTTATGGAGAACCAACGTTTACAAATCTTTAGAACAAGGTTAAGAGAGGGGCCTGCTATAAGCGCCATGTAAACAGAGAAAGGGTGCCGGGGGCGTAGACGGCCTTCAATCGGGATTGCGGTCTTCCCAATGAAAATTTACGATGATGCGAAGGTTTCCCCCGTCAATGTTTAATGCCTTTTTTCTCAACCGCTCTTTTCTTCCACACCTCTCGCATTTTTATTCTCATACCACTTCTCGTTCTGGCTGCCGGTAAAACTCGACCTTGGCCCAGTTCCTTTGGCTGCCAAATGTTCCATCTGAACTTGAAAGTTGTTGTCCCTGGGATCGAATCAAAATGGGATGTGAGTGGCAGAATTTTTGCGGCAAATGGGAAGGAATGGGGTCCATATAGTCGCAGGGATATAGACTGTCCCTGAACCGGTTCAGGTGAACGCCTCAATGGAAACGACAGTTCATCATCATCATCATCGGTCGTGCGATGGAAGAAAACAAACAACATCATCAATAAGTGAAAAATATAGTATAGTAATGGGACAAACAGAAACAAGTACGAATGCTTCCGTTTTCCGACTTAGGGATACCCAATGGTTAAAACCTTTTCTAATAATATACTTTTATTAAACTGACCCATTATTTTAGTGCGTCTATATACACCAAATATGAATCCCCATTGTCTGTGTTACTAAGAGAACTCGATATCTAAGTGGGAAAACTAATTTAGCCGCCTTGTTTAATAACCCGTCTATCTGTCTTTCTAAGAGATATAGATATCGAAGCTTACTAACTCTCTTAGGCACACTTCACACCCTTCTCAGCGGGCATCTCACTCTCGATAAACAGGTGTCTATACAGACAGAGACTCGAACAAACACAATATTCCCTTGGACCCCATGAGTACCGCGTATAAATATATGGCACAAACATAAATAAATCTAGAATAAGCGCTCGTGAAGGCGAGGGCAGGGAGTCCGCTGATAGACCCGTTTTTTGTATGCCGCCGCCGACGTAGATTCCGATTCCAATTCCAATTCCGATGGCGATGTTGACGAGGTCGCTGGGGCGTCTGATTGGGGCCACGTGAAGTCAACGTGAACAGCCCGCGAAGAATAATAATAATTGCGTTATTCATAATACGGCGAAGGCGGAATGGGGCGGGTATCTCCCCCGGACAGCGGTCGTCCATTTTTGGATCAACCCTACATCGGGGGTTGGGTTCGGCTCGACCTGATAAGAGTGCGGGACTGATAAGCGCGGTTCCCAGCTGGCCACCGCATGGCCAGTCTATAGGTCCGCTTATCTTTTTGTCCGTTCGTCCACTTGTCCGTTGGTATGTTTGTCCGTTCGTCCAGTTGTCCGTTAGTCAGTCACAACATGAGTGAGAGGCGTGGCCGTTATCAGCCTAGGGGGGTTCTTATCAATTTTCGGGGAGCATAGAGGGTGGGATTCGTTTCCCAGGCGGCGTCAATGGGGGTTTATCAATATGGCAGGGGCTGGACTGGGCTCTCGGGGATGGGGAATGCGATTGGGGACCGCTAATGCAGGTGATTCGGTTCGTCATCTGCATGGCTGATCTCGAACTAGATTTCTGAATGAATCAAATTAATTTAGCAGCTTGGGTTGGGGTTATCTGGGTGGGGTTTCATTCAGCTTAATTATGACTTCCGGCGAATGGTAGACGACAGCTGGAAAGTTATTGTCTGCTAACATATTTTTACAAATACGATAGGATTGGTAATTCAACTTATCTTAAATGCTACTATTTTCAGAATCTTGTCTAAAAAATAGCTTATTGTACAAGTTTGTTCATGTTCAAGTACAGTATCGTCAAAACATCACCGGTTCCTTTTTTATCTGTGTTATGCAATGTATTATATTGTAATAAAAGTATGCTTTCTCTATCAAATAACCAAGAGAGACCTTTTATATACTTTTACAGTCCAGCAGAATTACGCAATCTATATCAGGAAATGTGTCTACCACTAGATGTGCTCATCTCATTACATTTCGTATCTATATCTCACACCACTTCCGATTTTGTTTATCAAACTCATTGTCATTCGCCGGCAACGTGACCATCGCAACCGCAAGTGGAATCGGGCGTGAATCGAGTGCGAAACGGTTCCGAATCGGTCGGTGTGTTTATCTAAACCCGTGGCATGACGTAGCAGGCCTTGTTTATGGGGCGTTGGTGCCAGCACGCTTGTTTTGCTTTTGCGTTTCGCACTGAAAAGTGGGAGTTGATAGGCGACGAACCCGCGATTAATGGATTGCCCTTGAGGGGTCCGTAAACCCTTTCGAAAAGCTATAGGAGGAGGCTCGCTGCCGGCAGACAAACAATGGAAATTGCCCAAGTGCTCAGTCTTCTCAATATGTCTGTCTCTTTCCCCACGAAGCTTTCTTCCTCCTTCATTTCTGCAATTTATTACTGCGGTGTACTGGCATTTTCTGTTGGTTTTTGTTGCCTTATTGACATTGTTGCGTTTGTTGGTTTAAGTGGGCGCGTTTGTTGCTGTTGATTTGAAGAGATGGGCGGCGAAAAGGAAGGGACTTCTCTGTCTGCCCGCTTATCTCCGGCGATTACAGGCAGCCACGCATTGATTGTATGGCCCTTGTGTTCTCGGAATCAGTCCCCATTACAGCACCCGCTATTCTTCGACTCTTTTCACATTCCATTAGGGCAAAGTGCAATCACGAAAATACGTTTTCTGGTATGCGACTATTTTTACATTACTGAATCACTGGAAAATTGTGAAATTAATATGTATATCTTCATGGGTACTTATTTTTTTATTACAATATATTATTTGTTGTGTTGTTTTTAGTAACAGCATTTTAGAAATATTCAATTTTTATTGATAAGCGACTTTATTCACATTACTGAATTACTGGAAAATGGGTACATATATATATGCATAAGCATTGGGGACCTTCACTTTTTGTCCAACAATTCCAACAGGATTTTTTGATTTTATAAAATCCCATTTTTTTGTAAACATTTCGTATCCATTATTTCGATGTGGTCTGGAATTTTCCCGCAATTTTCTGGGTGATCCCCCTCTTAACAATTTTCTCCCCCAAAGACCCACCGACATGAACGAGAGGCGTGCACAATGATTTGGGTATTTAGCACATTTTCTACTGCCCTGCCCTGCTTCTTCTGCTTCTTTCTCTGATTGTTGATGGCTAATCGAAGCACGAGCGCAAAAAATGTATTTTGTTGTTGCGCTGTGCTTGCCCACAATTTATTTATTTTTAGCAACCCCGACGCGTTTCAAATAATCAAAAGCAGGGCGCCTCCGAATCGGAGCTGAAGATCTGCAGAGCTGTAGATGTGGAGCAAGAAGCAGAGCCACCTGAGGACCAAAGAAATAATTAACATATTTTTGCAAATTATCCATCGTGTGGCCGGGGCCATAAATCGGAGATGCGAGAGATCGGGTGATCGCATCGAAAGCGAAACATTCAAAACGGGGCATGAGTTATACATTATTCGAGTTACATTTTTTATTTTTTGTTTTCGCTGGAGGCTTTTGCACTTTGGCAAGGACAACGACGGAAGTGAACATCAAAACATGAGCGAGCGGCAGCTACAAATTGCATTTAAGGTCAACGAGCAAATTCACAATGCGTTGAACCATGCCAAGTCTCGAAAATAAAATAAAAATGACTACCTCCGCTGGATGAGTAAAGTGCTGGAGTGCAATGTAAAGCAGGCCGGTCAGGTCCACAGCAATAACGCAAAAATCAAGTAAACAAATTAATAATGGTCATACTTGGAGGCTATCGGGTACCCAGTGCTTATATGCATAAGTAGAACTTTATTAACTTTAACTTCTTTATCTTTTGAGTTGCGATTTGCAGAAGTAAAAGTAAATCACTAATAGCTCTTAACTCATGTAGGGAAAGGGAAAAATAATACAATTATAACATGTCTATACCATTAAAACATAGAATAATGTTTAACATCACAGAAAATCGCATACCAAATTTCCCAGCTGTGTCCTTTCTAGTTCTCGAGATTATGACCTTTATTCTCTATAACGGACAAACATCTCAACGGACAAGCATGCATTAAGGATTTGATTCGGTCGGGGGAGCTACATTTTCTTGAGAAGTTCTATATAACCTACTGCTTTAAGAGGTATTTATAAACGCGAGCTCAGCACTTATGTAATCACTGTTCAACTACTGAAGCACGTCTTGGACGAGTTTGAACTTTGGAATGATATTACTTGAGTCGCTATCTCTCTCTCTCTCTCTTTCATTCCGTCTCTCTCTTTAGGGCTCACCTATAAATATACCTATAGCTTCGTGGTTCCGAATGTGGATCGGCGCAAATAATACATGCGTAAGGCGAATGATCGATGTGCAGAAGGTGAAGGTGACTCCGAAGGTGACCCTGAATAAGTGAAGGAGGCGCAAAGGTCGCTATAAATCCGACTTACTAGTTCCACTTGTGGGTGAAGTACCGAAATTCCATGGTAATCGGAAATCGGCCAAGTAATCGCCGAAGTGAGCAATTTGAGCCCGAACACATCACACATATTTCATCATCTTCCTCTTTTGTCTGGTCAAGCAACTTCGGTTGGAATTGCTATAAATAGAAGCGGCGAATTCGAGTCTGTCTCGAGATAAGCGCCCCGACGAAGGCGAAGTCATCATCCGGGAAAGTGGATCAGGGGAAAACACACCCAAGGGGTATGGACGGCTGGTCAGAGGTTGGGAATGCCCAGTACTGAATTAATTCAGGTCAATCAGTGGGCTGATTGTCCGCACATGTTGCTAGGAATCTTTTAGTACTGAGTTTACAGTGCAGACTGTATTCCAAGCTGTTTAAGATCTTTTATTAACCGTTTTCTTTGTTAAAAGAAAAGTTGTTTGTGATTATAGTAAAGCCACTTTAACAGTATTTTCAAAACATCGAGGGCCATATCTTTTTAGACATTTAAATATTTTATCCTTTCACGTGTTTTATAGGTCTTAACTTTTTAAAAAGTTTTAATTTTTGTTGCATTCATTTCTGGTATAACCTGACTTTTTTTCTCCTAAAGATCCTTTGCGTTTCAATTCTATTTGTATTAAAAATTTAAGGTAAATTCTGTATTTTCTGAACCCTGTAAGAAACGCCAATTCGCATTATGTCTCTCTTAATTAGTTTTGGTTCTATTTTTACACGAATTAAATGCCTCAATTATTTGGTACCAGATGCACAAGCACATGTATATTTAAACCCGCCCATGGTCATTTGAAATAGCGGACAGTATTCGACATTACGTATACGCAGTATGAGACGAACCTACCGCAATGGCGAAGTCCCCCAATTAGCAGCGACTATTTAGCGAGAAAGAGAGAGCAGAGTGTGCGAAAGTGAGAGGGGGAAATCTACTGCATTTTTTGCTAGCAAATACTAAAAATACCCATTATACCCCAAAGTATCGGGGGAAAAAGGGGCGGGTCAGGCCAATCGGACTTTGATCGAATGAAGTGAATTTTGTGGGCGTCGTCCACATATACAATATAACGGCAAATGCAGCGGCGAAGGTGGCCAAAACAAAGAAGCTTTTTAACAAAAATAAGTAAATAATTTTATCTCCGCTTGGGAAACAGTTTGTTTGGTTTTTTAGCTCGCTTATGCGACGAACTTGGCGAATTTCATCAGCTGTTTTAATTTATGCAGGTCGAGCTGATCTTGGGAGGGGATCAGCATCAGAAAAAAGTGAGAAGAGAAGGCGCTCGAAAGAGATTCGGTTGCCAAAAGAGAGTACTGCCTGCACATAAAAAAATACCATATACTGTTTTTAAACACTTTTCCCATTTTATGTTACATTCTTTAAATCAAATTAGAGATATTTTAATTGATTAAGGACCTTTCCAAGTGAAATCAATACCATCTAATGCTTAAGCTTCAGGGCTGACATTGTAAATTTATATTATATTATATTTATGGTCATTCAAAGTTCTTGAAGAAATCAAAGAGCAGTTTTTTATCTCCTGGCCTTAAAGCTATTTTAATGAGTTTTTATAAACATGTCCCATTTAGATTATTACAAAAAACTTTTGATTAGATTGTAAATTTCCATAGAAAGGTCGATTGAGCTTCATTGATACCTTTACATTAATGCAATGAAATATAAAAATACTAAGACAATAAAACTTATATTTGTTTATAATCATTTTAAAGAAGTGTCTACATTTTGTAATACTATCTCTACTACTGTATAGTTCCAGTGTGTTGACCCCCATTTCCCAAATAGGCGTCTATTCATTTTTCCGTTCAGGGTAAGGTCGCATCTCCCAGGGTTGGAAGCGCGTCGTTTCCGATCGGAGCATTGCACTCGAAACGAACACGCAAGGTAACTGCACCTTGGGTCAATGATATTCGCTTCCCCCGCCAAAAATGTCGGCAGATATTCGGTTAATTTCTTGTTTTGTTTTATTATTTCGCGGCTGTCATTTCCATTTTCATTTCAGTCACGGGCATGGCCTTGCCGCCAGAAGTTGCTTGACCTGGAAGTTGCTCACCTCGCCTCCCAATATCCCAATATCCCCATCAGGCCTCCAGCCGAGTGTAATGCACTATGATTACAGAGGAGGCCGACTCGGTTACGGATTGTTTGTGTACATTGCGTTTTTCGGGGACTTTTGTGTTGCCAAAAAAATCAGTGAAACACTACGACCTATTGGGTATATGGCCAGCTGATTGATTTGATTCCGATGTTACTGACAAAGAAGCAGCACACTCATCATAGTATATGACTTCAAGCTATATCGACTGGGATCCCCCCGAAAATTAGTTAAGGCCACTTGGAATTTTTTCCGGCGCCTCTCTAACAAGATCTTCGTTTTCAGCTTAAATGAAGGGTATTAGTTTGTGAAGCGCCATATTTAGAAAGTGTTTCCCAACCAATTGTCGTCATTCTGTATCTCCTGAGTGTTTTTTGGTCTGACATTTATGCATAACAAAGATGTATATATCTTTACATAGTCCCCTGTAGCAAAATGATTTTTAGCTGTTCTTGCTAAGTAATATGATAACATAAAAAAAGCTTAAATTTATATATTTTGCTGAGCATTAATTTTTATAATACACATAGCTCTGTGATTAATATTTTATTTCAGGGTGGGTGTAGGCTACTTGATGTGTTTAATAATATATTAAACTTAAAATCATGCACACTTTTAGAGTTCTTTATAATATTTTTGTATTCCAGATCGGTATATATAGACTCTCGCTTCATTGTTTAAGTTGAGTACTTCTAGGGAGTACTACCAACCTCGATCATTTGTCGTCGCTGCATGCTTACCTGTTTTGTTTTTTTCCCCCTTTATTTATAGGTTTGTTGGGCGATTGCCGAATTGCATTGAGAACAGACAAAAAACGATCGGAGATTGCCTAAAAAGCGACAAAGTTTAATGAACGTTGCGAGGGTCAACGGTGCGTATACTTCATTAGCGATTAACGAAGGGAGGTGCCGAGAAAATGGGCGAGAAAAGGAATGAAAGGAGACCGCAAATGACCCAAGGAAGGGGGCGGGGAAGGAGGAAAACCCGTGGAGGTCGCGTGGCTAATCGACTCGGCCATATGTTAGCGTGGATTATGGCCCGCTAACTGGTTTCTGATATTTATTGCCATGCATCCCCATTTGCATGCTGCCCTTAGAAGGCCAGCCAACCCATCACCCCCTTTCAACACTGAGTTTGTCCCGCAGGAAGCTTTTCATTTCCGTTGCTGTCGGAATTTTTACAATCTATGAGTGTCCAATGCAAAGCAGGAGGAATTCCCATTAAAAGCAGGCAATAGGTGCAAATTACAAGACAAAAAAAACAAAGAATTACCAAAAAAAATAAGCGGAAGTGCAGCTAAATAAAATGCTGAAAATGGTTAAATGATTCTCACACAGGAAATAGAATTCTGCGGACGTCGCGGTAATTCTTTATTTATTTTTTTAACCAAAAAACTAACATGAATTACGGCTAAAAGGAGAATTGAACTTCCTAGGATTTTAAATAAGGCGCCTTTAGGAGGCGCCACCTATACGAAAAGCCTAAAAGTATGCTAAGCTAAAAGCCACAAAGCGCCAGCTGGCGGAATAAAAGGAAACTTGTCAAGAGTATTTGCTCATAAATGCGTTACATAAAAAAACCGATTTCCTAACGCCTTTTGCCGGTAGTCGGAGCACAAAACCGAGAAAGAAAATCAAAAATAAGTTAAAGAATCCAAACTAGCTTAAAAACAAATGCAAATATTGTGAAAAATGTTCGTTTCAAACCTAATATCCGTTTGTCTCGTGAAAATCTCCGACGCTGACGACTGAAGAAACCGTAAAAACAGTCCTTTGGAATTCCAATAAGAAACGTGCGTAAATGTTTCGGCGTTTTTGTTTTGATTCTTATCAGACTGCGAAACAGACAGCAAAGCATGTGGGGCGATGAACAACCGACTACAAAACAAAATGGAAAGAGCGGAAAAGAGCATTGCGCGCGCTCCAATAAGAGCGCCCTCTCTCGGTTTCGGTTCTCTTCTCCCCAATTGGAGCTTTCGTTTCGGTTTCGGTTTCGTTTTGGATTTCATTCGTAAGCGAGCGCTTTCTTCGAACGGACGTCTCCAAGAACGCCCCGCATGCCACGCCCCCACTCGAAAGGCTCTTGGCAAAAACTCGCGACTGCATTGAAAACAAATAGCAATATCAAGAGCAAAACACTGATCAGATATTGATGGGATTCGAGATCGAGTTGGAGATTACTGCCCGTTGCATTCCAATCGGAAATCCACTTCCATTCCGCTTCGAAATCGCGCGCGTTTTCCGCCGCGCCGATCGTTAAAAATTCATTAAGGCTTGTTAATCGCCGCCAATAATACAAATAATACAAATAATCCGAGTAATCGCATTGATTGCCCATAATTGATACTCGCCGTGTGTGTGAGAGAGTGAGTGCCTGTGTGTGAGTGCGATCGCATCCGCCGGTAAATGTGCGCGAAAAGGGAAACGGATCTGGATCTTCCGCAGACTTGATGCCGACGTAGCTGAAGATATATCTCCAGTCCCGCAGCTGGACTCGAAATGTCACGACGCAAACAGTCCAACCCCAAGCCGTTGAATAAAGGTGAGTTTTTTAAGGATTTCGAATCCAAATAACAATCATGTGTGTTCTAAGTTTTTAATATATCTTTGTTTCCGAACAAGTTATAAAGGGTCTCTTGGTTTTTTAAGCATCTCACTTATCTAATTCCACAATGTGTTCTTATCCAACATATGTTTTTTTATAAATTATAACATCCCATGTAGAACTTAAGCGTTTTTCGATGGGTTTTCCCACTTGACCGCCAGCTGACCCATTCAAATTCGCCCGCTTGGTCAGCAGCTCTCGTTTTTTGGACAGCAAAACATGTGAACGAACACACAGCAAACACAGAAAATCAAGAAACTGATAAACTATGCCAAGACAAAGCAGCCAACAAAAAAATTGAATACAAAACAAGTGAGAACGATAAAGTCGAGTTTTTGCGACTATAAGACAACAGATATTAAAATGATTTATTTAGACTGTGATTACGAACGATTTCTCGAAAAAGATCGTTATCATTAGGGAACTGAAAATCATTATATCATGTGGTTCGGATTTTAAAAATTCATAACTTGTTATCTGAGGAACTGAAAAAAACAGTATACCCTTGATCTCACCAAATAGGGTACTATGTACGAAAATTGTCAACTTTTGTTGCTCATTTGAATGAAATGTCTTTGCTGCCTCGTTATCGATATCGATACCTGTTGTACGTGCAGCTGACACACCTTATAAATATTGTCGTGGAGGCGAGAGGAAAGAAAGCTTCGAAGAGTGTCGAGAGTATTAACTAATTACATTTCGTTGTTTGCCATTTGATATATTTATGGCCCCGAACCATTTGACACCCAATGAATGCATTTCGGAATCGAAATCGATAAAACGTGCCGGACCTGCGACACTGGACACCCCGAGCACCTGAACTCACCTCAGTTTCCGCCCCTCCCTGAAGTCACCGGTTTTCCGCTTATCCATTTTGCCATTTTGGACTCCTTATCGCTGTCGCTGCTTCTGCTCCAAGCACGTTTCTCGACTGGCTGACTCTGCCCCACCCAACACCCATCCGAACAGAACCCCAAGAACCCCCATTTCCATCCAACCCCACAATCCAACAAATACCCAACGAGTGATATCAGCCCGAGTCATGAATGTGGAACTTCCACAGTGAGCGGCCAAGAATCCATATCTTGAGCCGGGGCCAACGGAGCGTTTGATACTCTCTATAAAGATATAGAGGGAGGGAAGTTCCTATCATATAATAACTTATTCAGGAGCTATTTATAGGGCTGCATTAATAGTCTATTTTAAAAATGTGTTTAACTAAAAAAAGGCCCAGAACTCGTTTAAACTAATTATGAAGTTCCAAAGACCGTTATCTGTAATGTTCTAAATTCCGTAAAATCTATTTCAAGATCTTTTTAAATTGCAAAGCTTGGCAGACTCATTAAGCTTAGAACTGTAATAAACTAGAGTTTTTAGGGATGGATGACGAAAATTTATACATATTTAGAATCTATTTAAAAATCTATTTTAACTCAGAAGCCTAAAATACATTACATCGAATAGTTACCAAAAACTATAGAGCTCAGTACTTTAAACTACTTAAAAAGTTTCAAAGGCTTTAGTCATTGATGAACATTCCATAATTCTTTCAAATCTAATTACACTCTAATAGTTACCAAGGTCTATTAGGCTTAGAACTGGAAACTACTAATTAAGTTCTGAAAACTGTAAGCATTTATGAAAATACCATAATTCCTTGGAATCTTTTTCAGAATCTATTTATACTTGAACAGTTACCAAGACCCATTTAGCTCAGTACTATTTATAGGGTAGCGACAAAGGGATAACGAAAAACTTTACCATTTGCGTTCCGATAATTTAGGGTATTTTTATCTGCGCAGCTGTTGTCCGTTGTTGTTGTTGATGGCTGTTGTTGCTGCTTCACCTGCACTATCAGTGGGTTATCCACCCCACCCACCCACACCCCTCCTAACATTTGTGCTTTGCATATTTATCTCTTGCACACTTGCTTCACTTCTGTCCCGTTGTTTTCTATAGGTACGGTGGGCGGTGGGAGTTGGATTTTGAAGGCGAGAAAAACTCAAAGCGCAACTCGATAAAGTTTTATCACAATTGCAGCAGCAGTGGAAGCAGCAACAGAAACAACAACAGCAGCAAAATAACATCAACTTGCGTAGCTTTTGTTGGAGGTTCTCCAGGCGTTGTTATTGTTGCCTTTACATAAGCTTCAATAACTGGCATTTGTATCGGATAGTCTGTAGTATAGTCTCGAACTCGAAGTGTAGGAATCGTGATGACAACGCCCTCGGGTTCGATTTCGAAATACCCTTCAAATGGCTTTTATTCGTTAAAACTGTAAGCGCTCAGCTGGGTTTCTAAGATTCCTTCCATATAATTATCAAAACTACATGGCAATTTTGGATTAAGGATCACAAATCGGAAACCAAAATGGAAATTCGAAAATAGTTTGCATTTAGGGACTTGCAAAAGATTCTACCTTAAACTCCCCCAAAATGCTTGCAAACATAAATAACTAAGATATCTTCACACAATAGTTTGCCATATTCCTAGGTACCTTGTAGGGTATTACATTTTTAACCAAGTCCCACCTGCTCTCGATTCGTATCTCATACCTTTTAAGAGTTTCGAGACCTGAGGGAGTGCAGTCGCACATAGATAAGCACTTCTCTGAGTTGCCTTTCGTTTTTGTTTTTTATAAATTTTAATTACGCTTATCACTAATTTTATGTTAATGGCCAGCTGTTGGTTGTCGGTTGTTGAATGTTCGTTTGTCTGTTGTTTCGCTGTTTGGTTGCTTGTTTGTTGTTCAGTTGGCGGTTGTTCTACGGCAGCAGCCACAAAGGAGAACGGCCCATCGACATAGTCGTCCCCATGCGGGTGACAATTTGGCCAAAAGTCAAGTCAAGTTTGAGTTTGACTCGATTTGAAGCGGGCCCAGCTCAAGTGCACTGGAAAAAAACAGTTTTTTATATAATGTTAATAAATGTAAAATATTTAAGTCTATCAAATTACCACAGTAAGTGCGAAGTGGTAATAGCTAGAATTTTTATGAGATGAGAGCAGCTGACCAATAAAAAATGTTATTTTATAAAAATCAACAGATAAAATTAGTATTTACTTTTTTTATCTAATCTTATAAAAGTATTCTAGAATTTTTTGAAATTGTTAATGGAACATAATTTTCAAGGCTCGGTTCCTGGCTACGCCCTTTCTAGTCGTATTCATCTGAAAATGTATTTCAGTGTATGTTTCTCATGTTGGCTCTGTTCTGCTATAAGTTAACTACTCTGGGGCCCTCTTTCTCATATCTGAAATCGGCGCGGGTACGTGTCAAGCGGTTCGGTTCGATTCTTGGCGAGAAGAGGGGTCTTTATAAGGGGTCTGTGGAGCAGAGCTGAGTTGAAGCGATAAGAGAAGCTAGCTAACTGCGTATTGCAATTGCAGTTTGCATTCGAAGAGCTGCAGTTGCAGCCGCGATAAAAGCCAGGGCTCAGGTTGCAAGCCAAGGCCCACGGGGCCCCCCTGAAACAGCCCCCTTTGGCTCCCCGCCTCTGTGCGGCTGTTCTGTCCATTTCAATTGGAAAAGATAATCTCGAGCTTTGGCCATTTTGACATTGTATTTTAATAATTGCGATAAGCTTCTCCCTCTCGCACTCGCACTCACTCTTTGTCTCTGTTTTGTTGATTTGCTGGCAATCGGACCAGGAAATATCACCAGATAAAAAGCACCAACAATATACCAATAACAACAAAAGCGGAGAAGCAAAAACAAAAACATTAACAAGCATTACAAATTACAAAATGTTGTTTTTCACTTTGTTGCATTTTATTATCGTTGTTTTTGGCCAGCACATTTGCATATCAAGTGAGGCGAATGAATATGGCTGGTGTGATATAGGGGGTGTGATATAGGGGTGAGGGATTAGCAAGGGGTGTAACTTGACGATCGACTTAGTCAGCCAGCGAAATTCATATTGTCGATACACATATTGCAGTTTTTTGCGCTGTTTTTATTTTCGCGCTTATCACATGAGAAGGGAAACTCGAAAAAAGTGATTAATCAATGGGGGTATTTCAAATGAGCCTAAGGATTTTACAATTAGATTTTTAATCACAAGAAGCTCTAGATATCATGCATAACGAATAAAATAAGTAAATCCTTTTACTTTATATTTAAGTCAAAACTATTAATCAATATTGTTTTGCATTTTAGGAAACATTTTGAAATTTAAATCAGATGTTATATTAGCTTCTGGAGAGGATATTCTATTTTTTGGCGTTTATGTCATGCAAAATGATAACAATTTTGAATCATTTCATTAAAATAAAACATGATCCATTTCCTTTTTCCGCAAAATCGCTCATCGTCAGCGGAAATTAGCTATCAAATTGACGTAAAACATTTGTAAAAAGCTCATATGACTTAGTTGTACAAATGTTAAATAATATTATTCGTTGCTTAAGTCTTTAAAAATATATACTCAAGGTTTTTGTCTCTTTAAGTCTATTTCCTCTTTCAAGTAATCCTCTTTAGAGATTTATGTTTAAACTCTGATCTATCATGACTGTTGAAAAAGGTATTTCGAGATCTTGATTAGTATTTCCCACAATTGACTAATCACCTGCGATAGTGAAACCACACTTGGACCCATTTTCCCCACATTATCCCCCGTCTGCATCCACTCGTGGGTTTTATTTTAGTTTTAATCGTTAAATGCAATCGAAATAAGTTTGAAACTTGATGCCCGGACGGCGATAATGGTTTGTAGTCATTTTCCAAACACATTCCCTTCGTAAAAAACAAACAAACCAGCCAGCAAAACGACAGAAATAAAGCTAAAAATCGCTTAAAACAGCTGTCGATTGTGGTTGTTGCTTGTGGACTTTACGATGTTGTTGCTCCGATGGTTGTTGTATGATTTGTACAATGCTCCGGGGCCTGGTCGGTTGTTTTTTATCAGCTGATCTGATGGCAAGATTGTCGCGCTTTGCTT